TTTACTGTTAAGTTTGAGAGGTTTGTTTTGTACCCTTAACTTAAAAACTAAATGGTCTATGACATCAACTATCACACCATTCTAATGCTTAGAACATACCGGAGGTCACTGGCACACTCTCAATCATATAGATTATAAATTACAGAAAATATACAATTAAACATGTAATAATGGTGATTAATGATTGACAGTGCTGATTAACAATGAATTCCAACTGCAAACATCATGATTGCCACAGCAGACTACTTGGGCAAGTAGAAAGAGTGTCCCTCTACATTATTGAAGGGTTATCTGTACAAAATAAGACAATATGCAACCAAAAACTAATGAAATGTATGCCTACCTGCTTCACTTCTCCAGCCATTTTTAATTTTACATACGATTACTTAGAGTAAATTGGCCTAAAATTAATACGGTATAGGTAACTAGCATTTCCAGCCGCGAACGGAAGTTTCCAATCCCTTTCATTTACTCTATTATCTATGGTGCTACAACTTCCAATAACCGCATGGTAGGAAAATGTAGCACTGTGTGGAATATATAGTACTGCACAGTATAATATGTATGGGCTTTCCTGTTAACCACAAGCTTTGATAGAGGCAAATAACAGCCTCGGCTATATACACTAGACATGTAACAATAATAATAGTGATAAATGAGATCTGATCATCTTGCGCTGGCAACCTTTGCGACTTTTGAAATTTCATTTGATCTGCCCATGCACCACTACAAACCAATCAAAGCACTGTTGATTTGTAGATTATGGAAATTATTGCACTCGGGACGGTCTCGACAAAAATGTAGCACTCGGCTTCGCCTCATGCTACATTTTCCTCTCGACCGCCCCTCGTGCAATAATTTCCGTAACCTACTCTCAACAGTGCTTTAACTAATACCTAATTCAGGAAGATAATTTTTTGGGGGTAATAGGAACTTTATTATAGGACTTTGCTCCATAGCATTTCAGCAAAAAATTTAATAGTTAAAGGATTATTGCTATGTATATTAACTGTATTGTGAAAACCATACAGGTGTCAATGTGCAAATAATGAATCTCATTAGCTTAAATTAGGACAACCCACGATAGCCTTGTCATGTTATATATATGCATTTATAAAGAACTCTCCTAGGATTACTTAATGCAAACTTTCATATATTGTGAGTATCAAAAATTTTTGAATGGGCAATTCTTATTGCCCTGTGATACTACATTGCACTTTGAAAATAATAATAAAACTATCCAATTTAGGAACATATTTTTTGGGGCATTGAAGGGCAATAGGAAATGTTTTTTATAGATTGTAGGCCTTTGCTCCATAGTACTGTATAGCAGGAAGTTTTGGAGGGAATTAAATTTGGCGAATTGATGTTCTGATAGCCATTTTCAGTCATTATGCACATGTTCAATGGCACATGGCCACAAATTTGCCAAATTAAAATCCGCCAATCACCAAATTTTACAATTTGCCAAATTTTAGCCCCTCCAAAATTTCCCATTATATGGTATTTCAGCAGAAAGTTTAACCATTGTCTAAGACTTTTAGTTAAAGGATTTTTATCATCAAAATTTGAATATTAATTCCCAGCACTTAGTGAAGCCATACAGGTGACAATGTGCAAATAATGAATCTCATTAGCTTAAATTAGGACAACCCACGATAGCTTTGTCATGTTATATGCATTTATAAGGAGCCCTCCTAAGATTGTGTATTTGAGTTCTGTAAGTGCTAGATGCATGAAATTTTTGAATGGGCAATTCTTATTGCCCTGAGATACTACATTGTACTTTGAAATCATCTGTTTCAGCAAGATAATCTTTCTGGGCATTGATGGGCAATAGGAAATGTTTTTCTAGAGATAGGACTTTGTTCCAAAAAAGTTTAACTGTTGTCTTCTAAGACTTGTAGCTAAAGGATTGTTATTATCCATGTTATAGATAAACTACAGATGTTGAGGGTTACTGGATATACACTTGGATGTTAGTTGATTTAGAAGCCGAAATAGCCAGTAACACGAAATAGCTATAGTTTATCTGGTTTATACTACAGTGTGTGGGTGTATGAAAGGCACTGTCGTCTAACTACCAGAATTGGCAGTTAGATGATGGCTTCTAACTACCCCTGCTGTGGTCTACACTATATAAACTCGTGGTGGTGCCTTTGATACACCCACACACTGTAGTACAAATTAGAATAGCACTTAGTGAAACCATACAGGTACTAGGTGACAATGTGGAAATAATGAATCTCATTAGCATAAATTAGGACAACCCACGATAGCCTTGTCATGTTATATGCATTTATAAGGAGCCCTCTAAGGATTAGATATTTTAATGAGATACCAATGGTGCATGGAATCGGAAGTCTAAAAATTTTTGAATGGGCAATTCTTATTGCCCTGGGATTAGTGGTGGGTAATACTGATACTGTATTTTTTGGATACTGCGATTTGCTACTATTCAATATAATACTAACCACACCCTTTATTTTGCGATTTTAATTTTTGCGACGGAGCAAAAATCGCAAAATTTGTAAAAAATTTTGTTGCATGAATTTCATGGTATACGGTAGTTAAAGGATTATTATTGTGGATATTAATTGTATTGTAAAACTAGGTATCGTCAGTAGAGGCAGTATTGTCTGGTGGTTTATTTAAATGTGTTTGGTCACGAGGAGTCAGTAAAGATGATCCGTCACTAGTTGATTGGAACTGGAATAGAATCAAGAACAGAAGAACAACACTGTAAGAAAACCACACCCACTGATACCAGCAAACCACACCCATTAATCATTATACAAATCACGTTATAAAAAATTAATTTTTAAATGTAATTTTTAAAATTTTTATTGAGTAGGCTCTTAATTTTTATTGCTGTTTTAATTTTTAGTGTCCTGCAACGTGAAGCAAAGTCATCTCTCTCATTTGAGAAGTGTCCCATCATATTATTAGGAGAGTATTATCCAATAGACATTAAAATAAAGAACGAGGAGGCCAGTATCATGAAGGACATAAAGTAAGCAATCACAGAATCACTTGCATGTGTGTCACATGATTTGGAATGATTCCAAATGTGGCCAAAGACCGTGGGCTGTATATAGTACGGGGAATTTTGTCAAAAATGACAAGGAGAGAATCCTCCATTTTAATAATTTTTTCTGATACTTATACATGTTCTTATGTTGCGTAGAAAGTTTGAGCTAATTCCGATCAAAATTGAAGTTTCTACAAATTTTTTAAAGTTACTCAGAAATTGGGCCCAAGTCCCTGTACTATATAGTACAAGTATTTTATTAAAAGTGGCTAGGAGAGGTTTATGTCACATGATCAATGATACATGTCACATGACCTCTTATATTATCATTAATATGTCACATGATCAATGATACATGTCACATGACCTCTTATATTATCATTAATATGTCACATGATCAATGATACATGTCACATGACCTCTTATATTATCATTAATATGTCACATGATCAATGATACATGTCACATGACCTCTTATATTATCATTAATATGTCACATGATCAATGATACATGTCACATGACCTCTTATATTATCATTAATATGTCACATGATCAATGATACATGTCACATGACCTCTTATATTATCGTTAATATGTACATGTACGTTTACATATTAGGATCAGTGCTGTATTTCTACTGGACCAGCACAAATCAAAAATCAAAGAAGATGGGACTCCTCTTGTCCAGCTGTATGTCTCCCCTCCCTCTCCCTCTCTCTCCTCCTCTTCCATTCAACAAGACTCTCTCTACAGTATCCATATGCTTTGCGACACCCTTGAGCCCGATCAAGAGGTATAGTTATATTCAATTGCAATTTTTTGTGGCTTAGAATTTTTGCTAATTTTGTAAATTTTAAACGCAAGAAATAGTCTTTAAAAGATTTTACTATTTTATTAAGCTTTAAAGTATGCAAGAAAGGCGCATTTGCAAAAATATAAAAAAATTAGAAAAATAAAAATGTATATGATTTAATTTTTAAATATTTTTTTAGCTTTTGAGGACATTTTATGTGAAGTCTGTCTCAATGGGATCTCAGAGCATCAGCGTGTCCGTACGTTAATTAATGGGTGTGGCTTGGTTAATTAACCATTATTAATAGTTATCTTATAATGTTGACACTCCAGTGAGAGATGACTGGGACCCAGTAAACTGCATGTGTTTAAAGGCAAGTGTAACAGTAACACGCTTACATGTATTTTATTTATAAATGTACATGTACATGTATTTTACATGTGACGTACATGTGCATGTATTTTATTTATAAATGTACATGCACATGTATTTTACATGTGACGTACATGTGCATGTATTTTATTTATAAATGTACATGCACATGTATTTTACATGTGACGTACATGTGCATGTATTTTATTTATAAATGTACATGTACATGTATTTTACATGTGATGTACATGTGCATGTATTTTATTTATTTTTACATGTGATGTGTGTGTTTGCTATTCATAGGAGGAGATGTTGATGGTTGAGACAGTTACTCCGCTAAGAGTCAATCACAAAATAATGAACATGAAAGTATGGAGTTTTATGTATACATTAACAGTAGCGTTATTTATTATATTCTCTCCCTCTGTTTAGTTTCAGCCCACTGATGTCGTCTTTTTTGACGAGCCATTCCTACTACAGTCCTCCATACATTCGCTGTCGCCTTGGCAACTGTTGCTAGGCGACACTAAGTATCAAATGAATAAGTCTGTCGTGACTCTTAACCAGGACGACCTTCCTGGAGTAAAGGACAGTGAGTTGTTATTATTATTACGAGTTATATCATGTACAAGGAGCTAGAATTTTCTGTGGTTTGCTAATTGCTATTACAATGACTTTTAAAGATTAATTTTTTGCAAATTTGCCACACCTTTTAATTTGATTAGGTCACTAATTTTGTGCGAAATTTTGAAGATTAAATTTTTGTGATTTTTTTAATTTACAAAATTCGCAGAAATTTAAATTTGGGGCAACAGAAATTTTTAGCTCGTTAGTAAATGTACATGTATGTATTGATAGGAAGCCTGTACTGAATCAAAAACTCTCTCTCTCTCTCCTCTCTCTCTCTCTCCTCTCTCTCTCTCTCTCTCCTTTTCTCTTTCTGTTCCTCAGTTATTCTATCACAGCAAGACATTGCTTCAGACATTAGATGCATCAAAGTGCTTCAGTCACTCAATTCCTCTCTCTCTCCTACTCTTTCCCCTCCGTCTGACATCCAGTTGACACTCGGCACTTACAGTTATAAGTGGAACAGGAAGAGAGAGGGAGAGAGGAAAGAGGAAGAGGAGGGGGACAGTATTGGTAGCATAATGATGACAGGAAAGAATCATTTGCCTCAAGTTAATGTTAAGTATCTTCCCTACAACGTCACTGCAGGTATGTCATCTAGAAACGTTTGCCAAAATTAATCGTTTAGTTTTCCGGCATGTTTTTACCATGCAATGTTTAGTAGCATCATTTTTCTGACTAACTTTAAAATCCTTAAAAGCTCAGAAATCCATTTTATAATGTAAAGTCATTACTTCATCAAATTTACTAGCTACAGTACTGAATTAGTGACTGCATGTCTTTTGTAGTGAGAATATATTTCTTTTTTAGAGTTACCATCATATGCCATTCAACATGAAGTCCTACTAGCAGCCTATAGTATTAACAACAGGTCTATATATGTGCATGAGTTTGAAGCCCATCTTTCTGTTAACAGCGATTTTATAAGCTCCGGAAATAAACTGGTGAGCTTTAATAAATTAAAGAGTTTAATTACATGTACAATGTACATGTATAAATTTTGCATTAATTGGAAGTGCTTTATAAGGAAATGACAGTGTCCATCAAAAAAAAGTTCTTTAAAATGCTTAAATTTTAATTGCAACGTTTAAAAATTCTACATCATTTTTCTTCATTACCTCTCATTCCGTTTAATGCTATTTGTGTGGCTAATTATTATAGTTGAAATTTTTATGCAATATGTTTTAATTTTAAATTCAATTTTTTCATTTTTTCTAGAGCCGATTCAGGGTGCTACCACTCTCCTCTTACTCGCTCTCCTTCAATCTCTTTCCGTTGTCCTCTGGCTACCTCCAGCTCCCAAAGCTTGAGGTAACCTGCATCAGTCAGTCTAAACTGGATGAACAGGTTTTGCAAGCTACCACAGCGAGTCTGCCCACTTCAATATACGTCAAGGTAAGTAATTTATAGTGTTGTATAGTTTTATGTCATGATATTTTTGTGTTTGATGAAAGAAATTGTTTCATGAAAATATTTGTATGCTAAAACTCCAAATTTTGAAAAAATACCCTGTGCTATAGCCCATGGTTTTTTTTCCAAAAAATGGCTCCGAAATGACCCGCAATTTTTATTAAATTTTCTGATACATATTGATGTCCTTATGCTGTGTAGAAAGTTTGAGCCAATTCTGACTTCAATTTTTCAAGTTATGACCATTTTTTAAAAACTCCAAATTTTAAAAAAATACCCTGTACTATAGCCCATGGTTTTTTCCGAAAAATGGCTCCGAAATGATGCCCAATTTTTATTACATTTTCTGATACATATTGATGTCCGTATGCTATGTAGAAAGTTTGAGCCAATTCTGGCTTCAATTTTTTGAGTTATGACCATTTTTAAAAAACTCTAAATCGTGGCAAAGTAGTTGACTATTCAGATTTTGACAGAGCGGCCTCTGATGCCCACATTGGTATTTCTTAGATTTATTCCTTTTTTAAATTTTTATTCTATTATTATTATTATCATTATCATTATTATTATCAATATTATTATTATTATTATTATTATTATTATTATTATTATTATTATTATTATTATTATTATTTTCCCTTATCACTTTGTGTATCTTTCTTTACCTTAACCAATCTTTAACCTGTTCTTTGTTTTCTTCCTTATATTCCTTTCCTTAACCTACATGTTTATTTCTACCCTTTTTCATAATAAATTTTTTGAGGGCTCTGTTCCCTTTTCAACTGTACTATAGCCCATGGTTTTTTCCAAAAAATGGCTCCAAAATGACCCCCAATTTTTATTACATTTTCTGATACATATTGATGTACTTATGCTATATAGAAAATTTGAGCCAATTCTGACTTCAATTTTTCAAGTTATGACCATTTTTTTAAAAACTCCAAATTTCGGAAAAATACTCTGTACTATAGCCCATGGTTTTTTCCAAATAATGGCTCCAAAATGATCCCCAGTTTTTATTACATTTTCTGATACACATTAAGGCATTCTTATAATCGTGTGAAAATTGTGAGCTGCTTATGAGTATAATCTTTTTTATTTCTTGTTGTTTGTAGCCGTTTTCCTCTGAAGGGGTTTCCCCTCCTGGCAGTGTCTCAAGCTCCTTGAGGACGTCTGTGACAGCTAGTGTTTGATTGACCACGCCCACTGCAATTAATTAACAAACATAGACATCTTAAGTTTTTCTATTAATCACTATTATTATTATTATTACTATTATTATACTATTTTCTTTAAAAATTAGTAATTTATTTGTTAACATACATAGCACTATTTGACATCAATGTAATAATAATAATAATAATAATAATAATAATAATAATAATAATAATAATAATGTTAGTAACAAGCACATACATGTACATGTACATTATAGTCTTCCTTGAAGATACGATGCTCCTATAGCCACTGCTATCAGTATAGCAATCAATATGACAACTATTATGGTGGTAACTATGCAACATATGTAACACTTCACCTGTAGAAAAGGAGGAAGGGAAAGAGGGAGAAAGAAAGAGGGAGAGAGAGAAAGAGAGAGAGGGAGGGAGGGAGAGAGAGAGAGAGAAACATATAAAAAGAAATGTGATCCATGTTGATATTACTCTGTTGTTCTTTCTCTTGTAGTCTCTGGCAGCTCTAATGTTCTGCTGTCCCTTCTCCACGTAGGCAGCAGCATGCTCTATATTGTACTCAATATTGTTTATCATGTCACCCTAAAAGAAAAAAGAAAGAGAGAAAAATAAAAATTAACAATTATAATGAATAATAGTAATAATAAATAAATTAATAATAAATAATAATAATAATATTTTACCTGCTCATATACAAGTTGACCTAAATCGTAAAACATGTCATGGAGCTCCTAAACAAAAAATTGATTAAAAACATATTTATTTATTTATTTATTTGTCTTACTCTTATATTTTCCTCCAATCTCTTAATCTCCATGTGACGGACCTCAACTTCTGAGAGCATTCTCCGTTTTCCTTCAATGTCCCCTATTATCTATAAACAACAACAAAAAACAAACAAGTTAAGTTTTTGTTGTTATCATATAGTGGGTTTTTTCAAGGATAACAATCTTTGCAAATTTTAAAATGCACAAAATGAAATTCCTTGAAAATCTATTACTCATTACGATACAAGATGGCACAATAGTGGAAATTCACGAAAATTAATTTCGTGAACCTCTGGATACAGGTCTATTGCAAAAATTATTATCCTCAAAAAAACCACTACACACTCTAATTATTCTTAGCATACACTTTGTGCAAATATTTGAGTGTTGTCTTCCTCGAGCATCTGTTCCAATTTCTCATCACTGACTGGCTTGCCACTAGCTATTAATTTAAAAGGTATAAAACAATTTTGGAGCCATGTGCATGAAATTTTGGCAAAAGACAATAAACTATTTACATGCAAAGTTGGCAATAATTCACAACTTTAAAGGAGCTCAAACTTCCAAACAATGTGTACATGTACATAGCAAAAGTACATTGATGCGAATAAAAATTATGTTCCCTAGTAAATTTAATTAGTAGTAATACATGTATGTACATGTATATACATGCATGTAGATGTACATATATACATGTACATGTACATGTATATATGTACATGTACATGTATATAAGTATATAAATGCAGCTTTTATGCTCAAATTTTTTACCCTTTTCCGGGGCCCCCACTGGTCTCTCAGTGGCCCTGTGTATATACATGTACATGTACATGCATGTATACATGTACATGTATATAAGTATATGTTAGCTGGTGTTTACTTATTTGGACTTGTCTTTGTATCATTTGTTTGTTTCTCTCACGATAAGCTTCCTCCTCCTTATTATAGTCAATCATCACATCCTGGAACTTTCTAGATATACTGGAATACTGTGAGCATGTATGTGTGTACAATGTATGTATGATTTTATAAGTTTGATTGTATTCTTTTGTTTACTTGTGCTCTTCTTATTCGATATTCTGCAGAGTTCCTTTCTGGTCCTGTACCTTCTTTATCAAGACTTACTTTCATCCCTTTGTAAAGAGAGGGAGAGAGAGGAGGAGAGAGAGAAAGGGAGAGAGAGAGAAAGAGGGGGAGTGGGAGAGGGGGAAGGAAATAGTAGAGAAAGGTGAGAGGAGGGAGAGAGTACTATTTAAAAGTACACATGTATGTGTGTGTGATTGATCAGGTGAATAATTAAGACACAACTGAGTAGAGAGAGAGAGAGAGAGAGGGAGAAGGTTAGAATATTTACTTTTAAGTTCATCTGTGATGCTGTGTGACAAGTCTTTTATCTCTTCTTGTATTCTTTTATTTTCTTTCAAATCATCTGGAAACAGACATAAAACACAATGTCACGCATACTAAGAATATAAATACAAATGATCATCATTATATTGTACATTATATTAGTTGAAATATCAAGTGTCTACTAGTGCCTATTTGTCTGTCTATGTCACTGATTGTGAGTACTAGTGAATGTCTCATTGGAGTATCATGTATCAAATTAGTTTTAAGGTCAGACAACTACATCAATTTAAGGTAGGTGGATCATACCCACTCTTTACTATAGTTACAATTAATAACAGCAAAAAATAATAGTAATAATAATAGCAATAATAATAGTAATAATAATAGCAATAATAATAGTAATAATAATAGCAATAATAATAATAATAGTAATCAAATATAATAAGCATAAAACTAAATACTACAAAGCTAACTTTCTTTGGGTAGTGGGATCTTATAGTTGTTTGCAATCTTTCGGATAAGACTGTCTATTTTCGTGATATTTTCAGACAGTGAATCAATCTGGAGAGAAAGAGAGAAGGAAGAACTGAGCTAGAAAAATTTCAAATCTTTTCTAAGCGAGTAAAATAAAACTAAAAGTAAAACTACAGTTGTTTTTACTTTACACCTTGAAGTGTAATGTGTAATCACTAGTAGTAGTAGTACCTGAACAAACTTGTGATCATAAAACGTTGTGATTTCTAAACTTTCAATAATTTCAGAAATATAAACTGACAACCTGAATCAAAATCAAGCCTCATATGCTACGTCTATGAATAAAGGATCTTAAAACCATTTATATTTTAAAACCACTTATATTTTAAAACCGCTTATATTTTTAAAACGCTTATATCTTAAAATCGCTTATACTAAGCAACAAATGTTACAAGACTTGTTTTTATTATTATGATCATTTACTGTTGTTAGCATTTCATTAATCCCCTGTGATGGGTCTTCAACTGATGGTGATACAGCTGTTACTGAGTCGTCTACTATGGAGTGTCTGCCCTAAAAAAATTAATAAATATTTGCACATAGTGTTATGATAGACTATCAACTTGTAATTCCCCTCAGTTTGTGTGAAAATTGTTGAGCTGTGACAAGTTATTTTCAATTTTTGATGAGAGGCAAAGGAGAGAGAGAGGAGAAAGAGAGAGAGAGAGAGAGAGAGGAGAAATAAGAGAAAGAAAAGGAGAGAGAGAGGGGAAGGAAGTGTTCAAGAGAGACAAACACTTATAGCTAGTTATAGGGTGTTACAATTGACAGCTTGTATTTGAATTATGACATAGCAGCTGTAGTACTTCCATATTTGTCTATTGGGATAACTTAGTGCGCTCCTGTTTACCTGTACAGAATTCTGTTGGTACGTGTAGGCTTGTTATGACCTTTGTTATCTCTTTGCATCAAAATTATGACTGTAAGTAATATGCTAGTCAACTTCATAGATTAAGTAAGAGAAATTTTGATTCCTACTCTCTCTCTCTCATCACTACTAAAAGTAAATCTCTTGTTAGCACTTTTATTCAAAGCCCATTATATCACTGTTGCATATCCCCACCTTCTTCCATTTGCTTTTCACTATTCACATTAAAATTATTTACAACTGTATGACTATATTCTGTACTATCAATTGTTTCTCACATAATGTACTAATTACTTAGTCCTCTTTACTCCTCAAATCCCAAAATGAAAACAGTAACACCTGGCCATAAATAACTGTATAATATTCGTTAACAACTCAAGCGTGGTATGTCTACTTTTTGTTTATCAATGCCCCAACATGTCCTTATGTAGGTAAGATTGGTTTACAAGAGATATTTAATGGGCAAACCTTAGAATTGTATATATCAGCATAGTAATATCGTAATTGTGTGTACATGAAACAAAATAGGCATCAACTTGCACCTTCATTTTGTGCAATAGTAGCTAACAACAACAGCAGAAGAAGAATAGTGTATGTATATTATTACAATTTTGCAAAAATGCACTGGACGTGCAGTTTTGTGCGTTTCTTACGTGAGATCTGAGCGCTCCGAGCTTGTCTACCATTCCTATGCTAGCCGAGCTGGTCCGTCCATTGGATGAATAAGCCATACTAGTTCTCTCTTTCCACCTGGTATTTTGTTGTGATAAGAAAACTCAATTGTCAATAATCCAGTACAAAAACTGCTGTTATAGGCGGTTTGTGTCCTTCTGCTAGACCTCCGATGTTTTCTCTTTGAAATACAACACTGCTTCGAGGAAGAAAGATAAGCAAAAAAAGAATATTACATGGAAGTTATTAATAAAAGTTATTATTTTAAAAGTTAATAAAACTTAATAATCATTAATTTTAGACTCTAATTTATAAAAATTAAAATGAGAATTCCAAATAGGCCTGAGCCTATTATGCTCATAAATTTTCCCATTATTCTTTCTGGAAATTCTCAATATTTTCCCCCATTATTCTTTTCCTATTATTCTCAATTTATTCTCAATAATTTTCTCAAACAATCAATTGTAGTGTTTTCAAAATAGGTCTTCCAAAAGGTGCTAGCCAAAATTAAAAAAAAAATTCTTCTGCAATTACCATTAACCTCAACTTTACCCATTATTCTACTATTATTCCTATTTTCCCCCAATTATTCCAGCATTATGCCTCATGTGAGGAAGCCCCTATTATTCTTCAAATTATCTAATTCCAAACAACGCCCACACGATTTGATTAGCCTCTGATAGTATTTGAGCATTCCTTTCTTTTCAGAGCAAGAGGCAAAGGCGTGAAGAGAGAGAAAGAAGGCAGCCATGGCTGATCAAAGCGTTCAGATGAAGATATCTATACCAGGAAAAGCTCCTGAAGAAGTAAAGGCATTCCTCACTTGAGACTATGAAGTTTTTATGTCTATCCTCCATCTGTAGGGGCAAGGCACTTCTGATCTTGGAACAAGGGTCCCGGCCCAAGACTACGAGAAGCTGAGGAGAGATTGCATAAGGAGAGGGAAACTGTTTGAGGACCCTTACTTCCCTGCTAGCGACCAGTCGCTGTTCTACAGTCAGAAATTCCCCGTTAAAGTGGAATGGAAGAGACCAAAGGTATAATAAGATTAGTACGTGTGGATTTTGAAGTAAAATGCAACCGAGCCAACTGTACATAATGTATAATAGTAATAAAATAATAGCAACAAGAACAGAAAAGAGTGTAGTTAACAAATTACTACAAGGTTTATTTTATAGTAACAAGGTGTGAATAGTATATAATTAGCAAGATTGTAATCACCAATAGTGACAATTTTAAATACATAATATTATTATTATTGTTATTATTATTATTATTATTATTATTATTATTATACACTTAATTAAAAAGGCACAAATATAGCTTGTATCAACGTATGTGTGTACGAAGGATAATAATTTCACAAGAGTAAATCAATATTTATTTCTCTGCAACCACAGGAATTTAGAGTATTGTAACACTTAGTTCTTAGAAGAATTTTGAGTAATTTCTTGTTTAGCCAATACAGCATCAGCTATTGGTGGATAATGATGTAATTAGTCACTGTATGACTTCAATAATGAGTAGTGGGGTGTTTCAAGCATGATTGTTCCTTGACCCACCTATGTTTACCCTATGTAGGCAGCATAATCCATATAATGTACATACACATGTATGCAATGGAAGTTGGCTAATGGCTGTCTTATTTAATGCCAGCTTTGTTTGGGTGTGATACATTTTTGTGTGTGCTAATTGTCTGACAAAGAGGAAAGAAGTTAATTCTTTTTTTCTCTTTCTTTCTTTCTCCCTCTCCCCCCTCTTTCTCTCTTGTAGGAGATAGTGTCTGATCCTCAAATGTTCACTGGAGGCTCTTCAAGGTTTGATGTAGTCCAGGGAATGCTTGGAGACTGTTGGCTTGTGGCAGCCATTGCCTCTCTCACCCAAGACAAGAAGCTGATCAATAAAGTACAAGATACTTTAATACTTAAGAGTGTATTTTATAACCAAACTGCTCCCTCTCTCTCTCTCTTTCTCTCTCCTCTCTCTCTCTCAGGTCATTCCTCAAAACCAAGGTTGGGGTAAGGGCTATGCTGGTATCTTTCGCTTCCACTTTTGGCACTTTGGTGAATGGATTGACATTGTCATTGACGACAGGCTCCCAACCTACAATGGGAAGCTGATATTCATCCACTCAACTGATGAAAATGAGTTCTGGAGTGCTTTGCTTGAGAAAGCATACGCCAAGTGAGTGATACTCCTATTTTTACTATTTTAATTAATTTTATTCATAATAATTTTTCATCTTGTATTTTGCAATTTATTATTATTTATTCACAAAATATGAAGTAATAATAATAATTAATTATGACTATTATTATTATTATTATTATTATTATTATTATTATTATTATTATTATTATTATTATTATTATTATTATTACTATTTGAATCAATTGATATTATTATAACTACAGACATGATTGTATATATGTCTATTCTTACTATTATTATTATTATTATAACTTTATTATTACAATTTTATTATTATTATTATTATTATTATTATTATTACTTGCTATTATAAGTTGTAATGTTTTTAATTGTCTAAGGATTAGCTCATTAGCTTGGTTATTCTGGAACCAAATGACTTCAAATACTCAGAATTATTATAATAATAACAACCTCACTTTATAGAGAATATCTCCATTTAACAGACAGTATTTCATTCCTTGTTGTACAAGTATAACTTCCGCAAAACAGACACCTTTGTATGACAAACAAACTTTTCTTGTGCCAAAGTGTCTATTACGTATAGAGGCTACGTCTCTGATATCCTGAGGATGTATCAACAAAAATCTACAAAAGATATTATCCTTTTTGTAACTTTGTAGCTGAATAGTATATAATAGAAGAAAGAGAAAATGTGTGTGTGTGTGTGTTCGTGTTTGTATACCTCCCTTTCATTTCTAAGACTTCTTGACAACTGCAATCAAGTGTTTGGCATTTTAATTGAAATAATATCTTTGTTTATTTGTTACATGTTTCTCTCTGTAGGCTTTATGGCGGCTTTGAGGCACTGAAAGGTGGAAAGACATCCGAGGCCTTGACTGATTTCACGGGCGGAGTTGTCGAAACGTACGATTTGAAAAAATGTGATGCCACACTTTTTGATACCATAACACGAAATGCCACACGCTCTTGTCTCATGAGCTGCTCCATCAAAGTAATTACTCTTTTATTGAATTAGTGAATCCTCTTTTATTGGGCAAACATGAATGGAATTTATTTCATCAGATGCCATGCAATTTGAAATTGTATTTCAGAAACTGTAAATATTTCCTCGTCTTTTATTTCCTTTTTATAAATGAGCTTGATTATTAAGCCCTTAATATTTATCACACACACATAAAAATTAGATTTATATACATGAATTTAATTGAATAATATAATGCTTTTATACTTGCAATTTTACTTTTGATCATTGTTCCAGCCACAACACTCATTTTCAGTTCCTATAGCACTAGACTTAGCTTCCTTTCTCTCCAATAGATTGAAGGCAGAGATGAAGTAGAAGCAAAACTGGACAGTGGCCTAATCAAAGGACACGCCTACTCTGTCACTGGAGCAAAAACTGTACGTACATGCACTCACTGGTTTATTGAGCTAATGGCCTGTTCGTTGGTTTTTTTTTAGTTGAACATGAAAGGGAAAGTTATTAAGTTGCTGAGGATTCGTAATCCGTGGGGACAGAAGGAATGGAACGGAGACTGGAGTGACAAGTAGGTCCCTTTATTTTAAAAATACTTATAAAATAGCTTAAATAATATTAATAATTATGCATACGTGACCATTTTATTTTTCTCTCTAGTTCTCCATCTTGGAATCAAATATCTGCTGACAAGCGTAAGGAGATCCTCGAAGGAGAGAGTGCTAAGGAGGATGGAGAGTTCTACATGAGCTATGAAGACTTTTTGAAACATTTCACTGACTTTGAGGTCTGCTCGGTCACCGTCTCTGAGATGCAGGAAGACGAGAAAAGTACATTATTCATCTTTACACTTTGCAAGATTGTTCACACCTCATTTTATACCTTGAGGTGTAAATTAGTTGTAATTTTAACAGGGCTTTTCGCAGGATTTTGGCATAGTACAAAGGCCAAATTTTACCAAAATTGAAAAGGAGAAAACCCTCCATTTTAATAATTTTTTCTGATACATATACATGTTTTTATGTTTCGTAGAAAGTTAGAGCTGATTCCAATCAAATTTGGATTTTTAATGAATTTTTGAAGTTGCACCAAATGCCATGTTGGGTTGCTCATTTATGAGACTCTGAATTTTACTAAAAAGTGCTATTTTAAAATTCTTTCTCCCACACAGTTAAGAGTTGGAATTCTATAATTATCAACGGTGAGTGGTCCACAGTAAAAGGGACTGCTGGTGGCTGCCGTAACTACCCCACGTTTGTCAAGAACCCTCAGTACATTGTCAACCTCACTGAAGACAGCGATGGGGATGGGAAATGCTCTGTGCTCATCGCTTTGATGCAGAAACATCGTCGCAAGCAAAAGAAAATGGGAGTTCAAGATCTCTGCATAGGATTCTCCATTTATAAAGTAAGTAAAGTGTAGCAGTAATGGTTGCTATTGTACAATGTCTGCTTGGCATAGTTGCAATAATTTTAAAAGCATAAAATACTATAATAATAAAATAAAGCCAGTATTTTACAATCTACTGTTATTGATTTTTTGTTTTGGTAGTAATTATTCATAATTATTAATATTATATCTCATTTCTTTTTTTATCCAGAGCCCTGGTGATGGATCCCTACTGACCAAGCAATACGTTGATTATAATTACAGTACTGGTACTTCTGGCTCTTTCACCAATGCCAGGGAAGTCATGAAGCGTTTTGATCTTGATCCTGGGAAGTACGTTATTGTCCCATGTTCATTTAAACCAGGAGAAGAGGGGGACTTCCTCCTTCGTGTCTTCACTGAGAGTTATTCTGAAGAGTAAGTCTACAAGTTATTTGTGTGATATTAGCTTGCATTGTTTCTATAGGCAGTCTGCAGATCAAGAGGATAAACCTGCTACTGATGTAAGCTCCTCTAACTGATTTATCATTTTATATTTCTCTCTTTTTTCTCCGTGCCTCATAATCTTTGTATTTCTCTTACTTTGTCTTAATTTCCTATATTTTACATAGGCTGATCCTCGTATTGCTAAGATTCGTGGGTTATTCACACGTATTGCTGGAGATGATGAAGAAGTTGATTCTGAGGAACTCCAAGATTTGCTCACTGCCACCATGAGCAAAGGTAGAGAGAGAGGAAGAAGTTGAATTAATGTTTGATCTTTCTTTAGACTTGTCTTCTTCTGTTTTTGGTATTGATGCCTGCCGCTCTATGATTGCAATGCTAGACGTATCCTTAATACATCAGTGTTAATATAACTATTAATGTTTATATTAGCGCTAATATCAGTCTTAATATCAGTGTTAATATCAGTGTTAATATCAAGGCTACTAATTGGTAGTGTTGTTGTCTTTAACTGTGGTGGTTGTGTGTAGGTTAATAAAAATGGAACTCTTAATTTTGAGGAATTTCAGACGCTTCTTGAAACCATTGCCAAGTGGAAGGTACTGACCACTTAAAGTGTATCTCTTTTTAATTTTATCTTTTATTTTTTTTCCGCACAGCAAATGTTTTACAAATTTGATCGTGATCGTTCTGGAACTCTTGAGAAGCCAGAGGTCACTGCTGCAATCCGCAGTCTCGGTAATGCTGATAGTTTTTGTCATCAAACCAGTTTGACTTGTTTTTATAACAGGTTACAACATTTCCGGCGAGGGTATGAATGTCCTCTTCAATCGTTTTGCACGTAAAAGGAAGTACATGTTGATTGATGACTTCTCTGCCTGCCTATCCCGAGTGAAAATAATGACAGGTATAATTCGAAAAAAATATATCAATGATTGTCGTGTGATTCATGAGATCTTTATATGACATAACAGAAGACGGTTGACTTTTTCTTTTTCTTGTAGATACATTCAATCGCAAGTCAAAGAATGGTAGTATTCAGTTAAACCTTGATGAAGTAAGAAATTCAATTTTTTATTTCGCTATATATAATTTCTCTTCATTACTAGTACTACAAGATAACTCTTGATGCTTGAAAGACTTTGACAATCTTATCATCATCAACATTGATTAAAATATAATTATTTTTTTTAATTTCCCCTTTGCTACATGTACTTCAAAAACTGATATAGACAATCTGATTTCATAATGGTGTTCTCAATTAGTTTTATTTTTCTTTTAAAAAATAAATTAACTGCATGTCCACGCGGTCACACGGCCTTGCAACAGAGCAGATAAGAAATTCAATTTTTAAAGTAGTAATTTAAATAAAAATTAATTAACATGCTTTGATGAGATGACATCCAATAACAAACTGTTATTTATTAGGAGAAGGCGTGGGCTCTCCAGGCGAGCCACACTTTGTAGGTTTTGGCATCTTTGCCAGGAGCTCGGGGACATCCTTAGCCTCATCGTAACTCTTCCACATCTTGTATAGGTCTAGTATGAGATTCGTGATCTCAATGATCTTGTTCATATCAATAGAGAGCTCTGCAAACCACGCCTTCACGTCTTTCTTGTGGACGACGGCAGCCATGTGTATGGCAACGAGAGCTATCAGATAGGGAGGATATAACATGCATATATCGCTACGATAAGTATCATTCACTATCTTCCAAGCTGTGGGTAGGAGTATGTCCTCTTGTCCAAGGTCTGTTACATACTGTGTTAGGGGCCGGTATGGGTGATAGACTATCAAGCAACAGTCGAGCATTTCTAAAAGTAGAAACTCACACTCCATTATCAGTTGGGCTTTGTAGGAGTAGTCCTGGTTGTAGATGCTCTGGTATTTCTGTCTGATTAGGGATTTGCATCTGATGTAGAGGGTACCGGGTTGAACGACTCCACACTCCTCGACTTTCGATGCTAGATAGAGACAGGTCGGGCCTAATAGGAAGGGATCAACGTCTCCGAGGGAGTGACGGGAGTAGAATCGTCTGAAGTAGATGATGGCAGTGGAAATGACTTGCTGTCTTAGTTTCAATTGCTCTCCCCCGAGGGTTTGGATGAAGTTGGCGAAGAATATCATTAGTTTCTGGTAGTCTTCTGAACTAGAAAAGTACGAGACGTCTTTCTGGCGCCATACTTCTATTTCTTGCTTGTCCAGGAGCCATTCCTTGAAGTGACTTGACTCCCAAAAGTTGCCAGCCATTATTCTCTTGTTGTGGGCGTGGTTTAAATTGGCCACGCCCATGATAAACAAACCACACCTTCCTTCAAGTTGCATCTTGCACCACTGTGCTGAAACACAGCAACTTTACTACAAGCCCTTGCTTCCAGCAGACACACTAACTTGGTATTATTAATGGCTGGAGCAGTAGAAGACTCTCTTTTTAAGTTCCCTCGTACTCGCCATCTCTTTGATGCTGGAGGCAGTGGAGTATCCCGCGATGATTTGCTAATGGATCCATCAGAAGAAAAGAGGTTCTACTCCACACGTCAGCAGCAAGTCCTGGTTGCCTTAGAAGAGAAAGTAGACGGTGCTAACCTTGGCATATCGATAGGGCATGATATGAAAGTCTATGTACAAAATCGCTCTCATTACGTCAACTCAAAAACCCACAGACAGTTTAGTGCTTTGGACGGTTGGCTATCAGAGCATTCTTCATCACTGTACGAGCTCCTTCAGCCCGGGAAGCATGTTTTGTTTGGGGAATGGCTCTATGCAAAACATTCAATACATTATAAAGAGCTCCCTGGCTATTTCCTTGCTTTTGATATGTACGATAAGGAGACTGGCCAGTTTTATAGTAGGAGGGAGAGGAACAGGTTACTGGAATCAACGACCAACATACCGACCGTCCAACTCATCAAGGAGACCACATTGTCCGGGAGAGATGAAGTAAAATAATTTTTACTTTTTTGTAGCCATTTTTTAATGAGAACCATGTACATGGTCTTTGACCAAAGAGGCTATAAAGGCATTTATAAAACTGTAAGCTATTTTGGCAAAAACCATAGATTATGCCCATAGCCAATTAGTCAGAATTCAAGGTTTCTTAAATGCTTTTGAAAATGTTGGTCAAAGTTTAGGTGCTGCATGCATGTACATTATATGAGGGAAGCTATCATTGTACTTTATTATTGTATATAGGTCAAGAAGTTATTGGATACAAAAAGTGCATTTTATGATGGACCTTGCGAAGGTCTTTACTTAAGAATAGACCATGACATGCCTGGGGGGCCAGGACAGCCATATCTCTCAAGTAGAGCAAAGCTAGTCAGACCGGACTTTCTCCAACAAATCGACGAACAATGGACAAGACAACAATTTACAAAAAATATCGTTCGATTTTAATTTCATTCCAATTGTTATTATTATTATTATTAGCAGTATAGTATTTTCTTCAAAAAATAACAACAAAAATAATTAAAACTAGTCTCCACCAGCGTGTACAAAAACCGTGTGCATTTAAAAATTATAGTAATCATCACAAAAACGAGAGATTTGGTGCATCATTAAAATCAGTGCTATGCTGTTCGTGATGCTTGCGCATGCTCTTTGCCTGCCTTTCAAGCATGGCATGTATCACAAAAGAATCATTTGGAACGGTCCTAGTCGTGTGTAGATAACTCTCCCTGCCCATAGTGTTCTGACAGAACATTCTGCAGTATTCCTTACTAGAAAGGTCAAAAAAATGTGTTTTTTTACTTTTACATGTAGATTTAAAGCAGTAGATGCTTACCAGAGTGATAGCTGTCTTAAAGAAGGATCAGAGATGTATTCCTGATGTGCTCTTCTTACAGCATGCCTGAACTGATATGGTGCAGTCGATGAAGAAACTAGTGTTGATATACAACTTTAATAATCAAATGCTAAAGAATTGGGATATCCTTACCTTCACAATTCCCAGTCAGACCACTGTACATTGCTTGGTAGGTTTTAGGACCGTCAGATTTTACAGAGTCTCCCGCAACATATAACGAGTCTTTCTCCAATACACATGATTGGACTGTGTTATTTATGCATAGCAAGTGGGTCAGTGTGTTCTTCCACTAGTATATGAATGTGAATATAGTAAAGGACTGATGTAGAATTGTTATCTTACAAGTGATCTGACTAAGTTATGATCCTCTGGTAGATCAGTATGAGTAACAACCACTAGAACTGTATTGACACACTTTTGAATGTATACTGTCTTCCTAACCAAAGCAGAAGCACGTTTTGCCATACTTGCCTAATAAAAAGAAGAAATACCTATCAATAACTTTACATCATATGTTCTTGCCTATGGTGGTCGGGGGTGGTCAGGAAAACCACCTCAACAAATGAACCAACTAGTTCATCACTTAGACCAACCATCCAATTAATACTAATAGCCATACATAAAGCATGATATTGTAGTCTACTAGTATGGTGTACATAAATTTAAAAGGAACAATATTAGTCTCCAACCACTTCTAATTTTTTTCTAGGCAGAACCCTGATTACCAACTTACTTCATCTTCAACTACTCCAGTGAAAGTTTTCACCCAACTCTCAGCTCTGGGCCGCATTTTATTTGAGGGAAAGTTCAAGTCCATCTCGCCAATTTGGTCCTCGAATTCACTGTTTGACTCATTCACATCGTGATTCGGTGAGGCACTCTGTAAGCTGTGAGTCTCATCAATTTGATGATGATCATCATCAAGAGATGATTCGTGATCACCTTTATCAGGTGATCCATCAGGTACATGTGTATGTGCATTTAATTCTGAATTAAGAGAAGGCTCTGATATAGCTTTCGTAATGACTAGACTGCTCGTGTTTGAAAGGAGGCTGGAATTACTAATTTTAGGATTCCGTCCTTGTTTATCTTCTAAGACAGGATCTGTGCTCTCGTTATGACTATTCTGTGAGTCATTGCTAACGTTCAACTCATCCGATCTATCAAGAGTAGCATAAATATCGACTTTTGGCTTGTCTGAAGGCTCTTCCGTACTACCGGTGCTCGGGTTTTCAACTAAAGATGTCACTAAAGGCGTGAGAAAAGGTTGCGAGACTGTCAGTGTATCTGAAGTGGATAGAGAATGATCGTTATGAACAGGAGAGGTCGACGGGGGAGTGCCAAATCCATCACTAGCATCGGAATCGTGACTATCATCAGCTCGATCCTCTACAGTCGTCATAAAACCAGAGGAGGGTGTTCCATAAACTCCAGGAGAGACGGGAGTGTCTTCGGACAATACATCAGGGAGTGTACCATAAAGCCACTGCTTCCCATTGCTTATTGGGGTAGACACAGGCACTGACTGGGTAACTATGCTAGTATCAGAATCATCAGTAGCGTCCTGCTGTCTTTTCACTGATATAGTACGAGGAGGGGGGACCGGTCTTAATTTAACAGAGTTCCTAGTGGGGACTGGCGGGGGGCCGGGTTTAGGGGGCAGGGGGGGAGGTGCTTCGTCCATTTTAACTGGAAGAGATTGAGTGGGGAGGATCTCGCTGTAATCGTCTTCTTGGCTGTGGGAAAGACCACGGTTTGCTTTCGGTCGTTTAAGAGGAGAGATCCCAATCTGATGAGAAAAGGAAACAGAGTCCTTGCCGTAGCTGATGGTAACGAAATCAGCCGATCCACCCGAATCAGCTCTGTAGAGTGGAGCAATCTCAGATTTCTTTTGATCGTTGTTCGTGACTCTCTCGTGCCGAAAAACTGACGCTGCGATATCAGGGTCGGACGTTAAACTAGAGTAGAAGGAAGAGAGTTCTTGGTGAGTCCGTTTAATTTGAGCGAGGTCTGCTAGTTCCTCTGGAGACAGGTATACTTCAATGACCCAAACAGACTCTGGGGTCTCCCCATCATCTAATATTGACCTACGATTCAACTAAAAGAGAAATGGAAAGTGAAATAAAATGCACAATAAATCTATGCATAAAAATAATATTTTAATAATAATTGTATAGTACATCCAAAGTAATGTAATAATTATTAATTATGAATACTAATTTTATAAAAAATACATGCATATTTAACTAACATCGACTCCTCCATTAGAAACAAATAATAGTTTCTCTGCAATAGCCGGTGGCAGTTGACTGCATAGGAGCCTAGCAGAAGAACATGACAATAAACATGATACATGTACATCACATTATGTACACATGTACATGTACTTACTCCCTATTGTAGAATATGCAACCGCCAATCACGCTTTTCTTTAGCTGGATCTTCTTCAATAGTCTATGGGCTTGTAGAAATAATCTAGTCCCACCCTGAGGGATTATAAAATAATTAATAAATTACATGTTAGATTGATGGCAATATTATTCTGAATTGAGTTACAACTAGATACACATGTAGACATAGTTTCTGAAAAAAAGCATAGGCTATAGCCCATGGTTTTTTCCAAAAAATGGCTCCAAAATCACTCCCAATTTTTATTACATTTTCTGATACATATTGATGTACTTATGCTACGTAGAAAGTTTGAGCCAACTCCGACTTTAATTTTTTGAGTTATGACCATTTTTTAAAAACTCCAAATTTCGGAAAAATACCCTGTACTATAGCCCATGGTTTTTTCCAAAAAATGGCTCCGAAATCACCCCCAATTTTTATTACATTTTCTGATGCATATTGATGTACTTATGCTACGTAGAAAGTTTAAGCCAACTCCGACTTTAATTTTTCGAGTTACGACCATTTTTTAAAAACTCCAAATTTCGGAAAAATACCCTGTACTATAGCCCATGGTTTTTTCAAAAAATGGCTCCAAAAACACCCCTAATTATTATTACATTTGTGATGCTCTTATGCTTTGTAGAAATACATGTAATTAAAAATCTATAAAGTTGTAGGCATCTGACATGTAATATGTACATGTACAGTAACATGTACATGTAGCATTAATGTACATGTACATGTACTACGTACCCTTTCAGTGTCCAGTGAGATGTATGGCAATGGACTAAACATGGAGGGAAGACTGTGGCTCTGACGGAAAGTAAAGTCCATCACTGATTGAAAAATAGCCGTCATTTGAATAGTGAATATCTCCCAGTCTCCTTGCGACATCTACATAGCAATTAAATTATTAATAAGATACATTTTTTGCGTACCTCCATAACTTTATTTGCCGAGAAATAAGAAAACATGAAAAAGTCGTGAATCCTGTCCAAGTAGTTCATAACGCTGCTCTTTGGCTCATCAAACTTGCTCTGTAATCCCTAGAGAAATAATAATAATAATAATAATAATAATAATAATAATAGTGAATTAGTACATGTATGTTGCTACAATTCAATTTACATGTACTTGCTAGAGTAAATATGAAATTGCCATTATGCCATTATATGCATGTAAGACTTTAAAGCATCACACAGGGTATTAGTAAAAGTAAAAACGAAACGAAACCAGAAACAAAAAAGAAACGCTAAAGCCAATGTAGTTAGGAGTCCCCTAGTTACAATGTATGTTAGGAGTCCCCTTAGGTTGAATTTAGAGTTTAGTTTTCGTATTATTTTAGAGCGTACCCTAGTCATGCTAGGAATTCTACTTATGCTTGGAGTCCCCTAGTTTTGTTTTGGTCTAGTTTCTTTCCGTTTCATTTCTACTTTTACTAATACCCAATTACCACACTTACACATTCACAAGTTACTAATAATACACACTACATTAGCATTAGGCTTATAAAAACAATAAAGTGTTGGTATGACTTTATCACACTACATTAATTATTATACTATCCCCCCTGACCTTAAAAGGGAACTACTTAGAGCATTTTCCAAAAGATCAACAACCTTGATTGGATAGTAATGCTAAAACATCCACAAAACCATTCACTAACAGTTTTAATGGTGCCATAGAAAATGCTAAACGAATATAGGCAGGTACTATAGTACTACTGCTACTAATAATAGATTCTTAATTATATTTCTTTGTTTTAACAAAATATCATCAAAATTGTGTTTTTCTTACCATAATAAATGTTGTGTCTCCTAAGGAGCGTATTGCGAATCCGTTAGATCTGAGTTGAATGAATTTCGGCATCTTATTAGTAAAGTTAAGTATCAAAATTGATATCCCGATCAGCTGTGAACACCTCTGCTCTAGATTTGGCTGAAGAAAAATACGGAGAAAATTTGAGCATAAATCTTAACAGAATTAAATTACAAAGAGAAATGGGCCAAACCTTTAATTCACCAATGCCTACTATAAATTATACACTAGTCACAACAAGGATATGCCGTATGATATTTTGGAGAGAATTGCCAATATTATTGAAAACTGCTAATCACTAATGTACATGCATTATCAAATTAAAACCGACAAAATATAAAGTACTATGGGGCATATACATGTACATGGCGCAAAATTGGCACCTGCTAATAACAAAGGAAGTGAAAAACTACATGTACATGTACATTGTATGCATAAATGTAGGTAGATGCACGTCATAATGGTAACAAGTGACACTATAATCTGTAGTCTATGTATCTTAGAAATGTACTGGTTTGAAATACATTCTGATTGTGTAATTATTGATAATATATGTATGATATATATCTACACACTTTTTTCAGGTCTCCATCAGGTACATAAACTACAACCGCATCTTTGAATTCATCCGTCTCTTCCTTCAGTCTGGAGCGGTCGACAATAAAAAAAACTCTTTCAGGGCTCGGTTTGCTAGTAGTGCCGCCAGTGCGGGCAAGAGTACCCGAAGAAGACTGCTTCTCCATTACAGCTCGCTCCCTCCCTTCAAAATTAGATCTGGTCACGCCCATCAATTAAAATAAAAATGGCGGACTCTGGAGGTTCCACTTCGTTTCTTCAAGGCACAGACGAAGGAGAGTTTCACAATAAATACGAGCCGAAGGAAATATTAGGAAGGTACTTGCCTTTAGTTTATGGTAGAAATAGACATAACAATCAATTTATCATGAAGAGGTCTGTCAAGTACAGTAAGGAGGTGTGTATCACGTGATACAGGACTGGAATATGCTGTCAAGATAATAAGTAGGACCCAAGATGAAGTTATCAATGAATCGATAGCTGCCGAAATCGAAGTCCTGAATCTCCTACCGAAACATCCCAATATTAGTAAGAATGGAATTAATTAATGCCATAATCACATGTATATAATTATGATACGATTAGCAATGATTGATGTTGATACTTGATAGTAAGGATCTATTTCCATTTAATTATTTAACATTTATTCTTATTCTTATAGTTCAGTTATATGATAAGTTTGAAACTCCGGCGTACATATTTCTTGTTTTTGAACTGTAAGTATAAATAATAATAATTATTATTGTTAATTAATGTATGAGATATTATAGTGTATTATTTTAATTCATAAACAGCGCCTGTGGCGGAGAGTTATTCGACTATCTAACAAAAGTTGTACGTCTCTCAGAGAAAAAAACAAGGTACCTGTATTGTACATATTTATACACTCTGTGGTGAAAATTTAAATATATTTTTTGAATACATAAATAATATTATATCCCACAAAGCAATCTGCATTTTAAGTGAAGTAGTGAACTAAAATTGAATCAACTTAAAAAATTTATTTAAAAAATCCAAACTTGATTTGAATCAGTTCAAACTTTCTACACAACATAAGAACATGTATAATTTTTTTTTAATTCATAAAAAAATTCAATTTTAATCGTACTATGCTCAAAATCCTGTGGGAAATCCTGATATGTATAGTTCATTTTTTACATGCATTTTTATTGTGACATTTTTGTAGACTAATAATGCAGCAAGTCTTTAGCGGTGTCCATCACATGCATTCATCTTGTGTAGTACACAGAGACTTGAAGGTACTCAATAATGAATACCTTTACGTTAATATTATAAGTGAGCATTCCACCAGCCGGAGAATATATTACTAGACAAGAATGGCAATGTCAAAATTTCCGACTTCGGTTTTGCTACAAGAGTCGAAGAAAATGACGAACTCTCTGGTAATGAATATCCCGAGACATTAATCTTAGCTATACATTATTACTCCTGTTCTTGTGCATAGACCTATTGGGTACTCCTGGTTATCTAGCTCCCGAATTACTAAAAAGATCAACAGAGCCGGATGCCCCTGGCTACAATAAAGAAGTCGACCTGTAAGTTGTAATGCTCCTTTTTTAAAAATGCACTTTTACGTTAAATTGTACTTTTATATACTTTAATATCCTTCTTTATACTCTAGATGGGCTTGTGGTGTGATTATGTACACATTGTAAGTGACACTGTTGAGTGTGTGTGTGTGTGTGTGTGTGTTCATTAGGACATACACGTACATGTATATATTTTATATCTTATAGGCTGGCTGGGTTTCCTCCATTTTGGCACAGGAAGCAGCTCATAATGCTACGTAAGATAATGAATGGAGACTATGAATTTGTGAGCCCAGAGTGGGACGAAATCTCCGACGCAGCAAAAGACATGGTTAGATCAAGTCTTTCTCGATCCTATACAATCATAAATGATATATATTTTTTATTATTTTAACTTTTATAGGCTTAATTTTTTTATCGATTTGTTTTTTCACTGGCATCCCATAAATTTTGATTTATTGTATATATTTTAGATAAGAAGATTACTGACAGTTGATCCTAAGCAAAGGATGACTGCCTTAGAGGCACTAGAGCATCCATTTCTAGAGTCAAAACCAGCAGTAAGTCAATGATTTCATGATGACCAGTACATGTATGATTCCTCTAGGAGTTTGTGATATTTTCTGCAGGAAGAAAACTAAAGGTAGTGCGTGTTAAATAATATATTTTTCAATCTTTTTTCATTCTTTGCTCTTCAGGCAATTCTGTGGTGTGTTCGATTTTGTGTTGCTGTAGACCGAAGTCGAAAAACTCCAAAAGTTGTGACGATAAAGGACATTGGGACGAGCCCATATGAGAACAGATACATTCGTAAACTAATCGACACTTGTGCCTTCCACATATACTCCCCCTGGGTCAAGAGAGGAGAAGAACAGAACAGAGCGGCGCTTTTTGAAACAGCTCCAAAAGTTGCCATGAAACATCCAAACTTCTACATTAGCAGTGCAGCCGTAACTTTTACATTCACTTGACTCAATCAATACTATGATAATAATAATAATTATTATTATTATTATTTTTAATTCCTTAACATGAATGATTATTATTTATATATAATTTTCAAATACTAGTCTTTTAAGTGATGCTATCTTCTTAAAAAGTAATCAATGACGGCGGAGAAAGCAGCAAAAGCTCCACAGCCTACAGCCCCAGCTTGAACACCAGCTAAAATTTATAAAGATGCTGATACTAAACATAAGGTACTTACCACGGAGTCCTAGTACTCCGCCTGTAATACAACCAGACATTACGCTATTGCTCATTCCTCCTTTTCCTCTGTACTGCAATAAAATATTAGCAATGATAGCATTCAATTATAATTAATTTAACGTACACTTTCAAGTAGACATTCAGTTCCAGAAAACATGGCTCCGACGACAGCGAAATTCCTCGCATAAGAGCCTCCTCTTTGAGTCATCTCACGAACAGCATCTCTGGCTGTTTGCTTGGAAACATTATCAGATATCGCCGGATCAAGACCAGCTGTGAATAAACCAAAGGCACCTCCCAAAAGGTATCCTACATACAATAAAGCATAGCCATTAAATCTATTACTATTACTATTACTGGCATAGAGTGGAAAATTTTTAAGGGGCATAAATCTATTTCATGGATTTAATTTTCACAAATTTTCACCATCTACCATCTTTTCATATTAAATTGAATTTTACTTTTGCAAATTTTCTCAAAGAATTGTGAAATCAGCACCTATTATTATCATTTTACATCAATACTAACATATGCAAAGCTATAAAATGATTTTAAAAAGATAGCGCCATTAAGATATTGTCTTAGAATCTCACCTAACACACAGCTAGTGATGGTTTTAAAGGTGCATCCAGTTAGTAGTGTCTCCATTTTTAACTCGGTGTCACTTTTAGGTCTGGTAGCAAAGTCTAGCCAGGGATAGGGCTTGACGCTAGTCCCTAGGACCGTCTGCCCCTGACGCATATGATCAACGAGCTCTGGAAGAGTAAACTGATCACTAACTAACAAACGAGGGGGACTTGGATCTCCTTTCATTTTCACATAAAATGATTTTTAATTTTTTAAAAGAATTGGATTTGACCACGTGAAAACACGCCTACGCCTACGCCCACAAGGAGGTTTACCACGCCCACATATACACTGATTACTAGGTGTGGCTGTAAAAACATGGGTCTTGGCAGATCTATTCACAACATCTTCTTTAGAAGAGCTTCGACTTTCTTTGTGACTATTGTAGTAACTGCTGTGTTCGCTGAACGAACTTTTGACCACGCCACTGCAGCACTCTGGGACAGAATGCAAAGAGGAGTGAGCCTTATTCATTTTAGTATATATATTTTTACTCTCCTCTTATTATGTATACACAGAAACTGTGGGATCACATGAAAGGCGAGATAGAAGGACAACAAGAAGACTAACAGACTATTTAAACTTTAAAACATGTAGTGGTTGTTTATGATGACATATTATGATATTCCGTACATTTCCGTGTTTTGTCGTATACTTAAAAATATCAACAAAGAAGGGTGAGGAGGGATGTTGGAATTGGAAGTTATCCCCGAGAGGGGACTAACTAATGGACGGCTAGAGCTGATCCTTGGTGAGTACTGAGACTGAACGGCATGTCTATGTTCTTCTAATGGTAGGTATGCCATTGGGTGACTGTATAGAAGTCCTAAAGTCAAGTTATTCCACTGTCAAAGATGTTCAACTCACCTATAACGAAGAAGTAATTTAGATTTTAAAGTCTATTGAGCTTACGTACTTGTTACAGCAACCCTTGGATAAAGAAATTGTCCTTGATTTGACAAACGATGGCGTTAAGTTGATATTTGATCAAAAATTCCAGCGTCTCAAAGTATAACATGTATATACATGTATATTATTTTTGTTGTTACTTTTAGATAATTGAAATATACGATACGAAAAGAATCACTCTCAAATATTGGTAACTAACTATGAGGAATAAAATTAATATGTTTTTATGATTTATTAATATTATTATTTTAGTAATAATGTTTTTTCAGCCCCTGGTACAGTCCCAACATTGGAACTAATAAGACAATGTTTCGGTCCAACTAGAGCTGGAGGTATATAACTGCTATTTGTTTTAATATTTGTTCTAAATTTCTACACAATATTAGTACATGTACTGTATATATTCATTGAAAAAGTTATTAAAATGCAGAATTTCTCCTGGTCATTTTTGGCGAAATTTGGCCAAAGACCCTGTACTGTAGTACAGCGACTTTGACCAGATTTTTAGCAACTTTAAAAATTCATAAAAAATCTAATTGGGATTGGAATCAGCTCAAACTTTCTGCACAACATAAGAACATGTATATGTATTAGAAAAAATTATAAAAATGGAGAATTCTCACCTTGTCATTTTTGACAAAATTTGGCCCAAGACCCTGTACTATAGTACAGGGACTTGTACAGGGACTTTGGTCCAATTTTGGAGTAACTTTAAAAATTCATAAAAAATCTAATTTTGATTGGAATCAGCTCAAACTTTCTACGCAACATAAGAACATGTATATGCATCAGAAGAAATTATAAAAATGAAGAATTCTCACCTTATAAATTTTGACAAAATTTGGCCATAGCCCCTGTACTATAGTACAGGGTCTTTGGCCAGATTTTGGAGCACCTCTAAAAATTTCTGATAATTCTGAAACTTGTTAGTAATTATTTATGATTTTTATTAGATCGTAACGTGAGACAGCAGCTTTTCCTATTGCTATTTCGTGGGATTCTCTTTGTGTTTCCTCTATGGAGCGCTGGCAGCTCATCTGTATGTTAATCCAAGCACGCCTCCTTTAATAGTAACTCTTATTTTCTTAGCCTATATTTGACGCTGATGGGCTCGAATTCTCGGAACCTAGTGTCGAGGGTTCTCTTGTTCTATCGAAATTATCAATCTTTAGTGGGAGTAATCCACTGGAGGCTGTGTAAGTGAATGGAGTTAATGAACACACAAGTAGTACACTATAGTCATCATGTAGTTGTTGTGCATCATTGATGATACATTTTGATTACTGTAGACACATTTGTGATCACTATCCATTATTTTTAGCTATTTTACGATTGCCCTAATTTTGTTAAAAGTTAATGGACGTAAATATAATTGTCAGTGTGTAAACCTTAGTTGTAAAAATCATTAAAATCAATGGACGTTAATCCACCTACCATTGCAAGAATGCTAAACATAAAAGTTGTTAAATTATTTGGTTTTACAGTATTCTGTATTGTGTAGTTCCCCTCCAATACCTATCGAGTATTGTCAAGGTCATTGCTTTGCAAAATGCATTGAAGGAGTTAGAAATGAGGGAAGCAATGCTGTCACATCTCTTAGAGTGAAGATACTTGAAACCAGTGAAGGTATAGCATATAAATGTGAGCTGCATTAAATATACTTTAGATTTATTACAATCAGCTCCTGATTCAAGCATTAAACAACTCGAGAGAACAATATCATTCAGAGACTCACCACAAGTAAAATAACTGAAGCATCTCACCATCAAAATTAATAAATTGCATGTATTAGGACGTAATGAGTTCACTTGGTGCTCCTGATAAAATATTCTATAAAGACGAAGATAAAGTAGAGCACTGCTTAATGTTATATTACTTTTATTGCTAACCTTCAGATGCGCATACACTCTCAATCTCAGAACAAGCTTCCTACCTCAAAAACATCTGATTACTTCTTTAATTACTTTACTCTTGGATTGGTAACTAAAAAATAAAACTATAGTAATATTCATAATAATTATTTTCGTGATAGGACATTTTGTTTGACGGTACTTCTCATCAGGTTAAAAAGTTTATACTACACACGAATTATCCAGGTCATTATGACTTTAATGTGTAAGGAAACGTATTGTGTGTCCATTGTATAATGTATTTATCTCTTTAGCTATCACAGGTGTCATTTTTCAATATCGTTTCCAATCAGCAGTTACTCGCATAATGCCAGTAATGGTGAGACTATTAATAAAGCATTAATTTGTTAAAGTTAATACACTTTTTACATGGGGCACTGGAAAATAAATATTATAAATTATTTGTCAATAAATTCCCTTGAAATCTAATAAGCTTAATCTAAACATGTATTTTATTCAAATAATATGTGGCAAAGGTCTTAACATGAATTATTTCTTATTTGCTGTAGATTCCTTATCACAAACAATATCAGTTACTACTTTCACTAAAGTCAGTTGACTATTATTATTATTATTATTATTATTATTATTATTATTATTATTATTATTATTATTATTATTATTATTATTATTGTTATTATTATTATTATTGTTATTATTATATAAACCCAAAAACAAGAACTAATTAGAGCTAAAAATAGAGAAAAACAAAAAAGGGAAAGGAGAGGGAAGGCCCTATGAGGAAAATAAAAATAAAACAAGGAAACTATACATGTATTTAAAAAAGCTAATAATAAGGAAAGAAGAAAGAGTCAGACCTGCCCATCCACATCGGGTGGAAGGATAGGAGAACGGCTTATTATTATTATTATTATTATTGTTATTATTATTTATTATTGTTATTGTTAGTGGAGTGAAGTAGTAGATTATGTCTTTCAAGATAAGCCAGAGAAGCCTGTTGTCCTAAGTCGTTCATCCTCTACCAACAATACAAATCCTTTTGGCTACACTTTCTGTTACAACCATCATAACATCATATTTGAAGTATATGCTAAAATTAAATGCTGTGCATTCAATAATGCCATGTATTCTATACACTATAGGTCATGAAAAACAGTCACATAGCATCAGTCATAATCTACAGCCCTCAATGACACATCACTGTTCCCCTCTTTCAGTTCAATTATTAAATAATAATAATTATTTTTCAGTGATAAATTTATAGTTGAATATTTATAATACACAATAATGAGACTATCAAGCAATCCTTTGGCGTTGTCTAGAATCTAGTTTGTGGACAAATGTGATTATAAGTCCTAAGAAAATAGTATTTACGTAATAATTATGCACCCAGCAATGAGAAACAGAGTTCATACTTAGCATGTCCTGTGTTGTGTACTTGAGTGCGACACTGTCTGCCCCAATGACAATTGGGTCTATCAGTAACACTATCTAAAAATAAATAATAGTTGAAGGAGTAATGAAGCAATGCACATGTATATGAGTATAGATTTATTTTTTCTACCAGGTAGTTCTTCACTGCTTATGTCACTTCTATACTGAAAAGCCAAGTCTTTCATGTTTTTAAGAGCACATGCAAAACATGTTCTTGAGCATGAAGATATTCTTGCCGATCTTGTGTCTAAAAGAGGAACATTGATTTAATAATTATATATATAGTACCAGGTGCACTATATGTTCCATTGTCTAGTTTATCTAAACAAGTGTTGATCATGTCTTTGAATGCGAGGCCTTTCTCTCTCAAATAATCCTATGGTGATGACAAGTAATTAATTAATCAATCCTACCACAATAGTACAGGATATTTCATCAAATTTTTGAAAATTCATTTTCATTGAAATCAGCTAAAACTTTCTACATAGCATAAAGGCATCAGACAATCTAATGCCTGACTTCATTACTAATTTTTGAGCTGTTTAACTACATCATTGGAGTAAAAACAGCACACCTTGAGTACTTTTGATTCATAGCTGTTATCATTAATGATTCGTCCTAATGTCGACTCATCGTAAGTAACATCTAGAGAATCATTAACATTAAAAAATAATGACATACATGCACGTGTACATTACCTTTAAACTGATTAAGACAGCCTCCTGCAGTACAGCCACACCCCCAGTACATGTGACAAAAAGACTTTGAGCAAATATCACCTAAAGAATAACAAGAATTAAAACTTTATTTTTATCATATGGTGCTATGCATACATTTCTGAGGCGGGATTGAGAGATCTGATTCAGATCTTCTGTCTGGCATGGGAAGCATGCAACACATGCACAGCACATGGTTTGTAGAAGGACTGCAAGTGAAGGAAGATCTAGTAGAAACTGCATGAGATGGGCCAGCATAACTAGGACACTGACGACATTTTGTAGGTGGAACAAAACTAAAGAATAATGATGATAATAATAATAATAATAATAATAATAATAATAATAATAATTTATGTTTTTACCAGCTCTTTACTGACATAGCAGAACGGCTCTTCAGTGCTATAACAGAACTAGATAAAACAAATTCTTCATTATTAAAATTGAAATATTTAAATAATATAGACCTTTCTAAATCTCTGAACTCGCTTTCAAAACGTCCCAATGCTATTGTCAAGGGATCAGGACCACTACTGCTACTAATATCATCATCATCTTCATCATCATCATCACTATAGTCTTCACTTTCTTCTTCATCCCACGACAATCGCTTCCTCCTCTTAGCCTTTGGAAGCATCTAATGGTACAATTTGCAATTATAAATTAAGTTATTATTAATTTTGGTTTTGCAGTTATTCATGTGTAGTGTACTACATGAAGCACAACAGGAATAAAAACACATGCTTTAATTATCTCTCGCTTTTTCTTTCTTCCTCTCCCTCTTTTCTCTAACCATATCTTTATCAATTTTATTCTTCTCGTCCAGTTCTTTCAAATCTTCTTCGGGTCTTTTCTTTCCTTTACGACAAGTTACTCACAATAGTATGTACTCTATCAATAGCGAAGCATTACCTGGGTTTGATCTCAAGTAAGCGCTCACTAAATTATTGACAATAAAATTCTTTGTAATTCTCTCAACTTTCAACCGACACTATAATAATAAAAATCAAAATAATATATACAGAACAGCAATAGAAACAGGGTTGCTATATATAGTGCTTGTTACTATATATAGAACAGAACAGTGCTTGTTACTATACATAGAACAGAACAGTGCTTGTTACTATATATAGAACAGAACAGTGCCTGTTACTATATATAGAAGAGAATCACTCACTGAGGGGCATTCATTTGAATAGCTCATCCAATCTGAGTAGCATCCAGCACAGTAAGTATGAGTGCAAGGTTGTAAGCTATAATTAACAATGATTATTGACTGTTTTATTATTGTTAATATTCTCACCTTACACAATCATGCAGTATCTCCTACGTGTCAGTATAAAAATTAATAATAAAAATAATAATGATTAATAATTACTGACTTGTACCTGGCATATTTGACATAATAGAGTCTCTTCAATTGAGTCTTTCTTATTTAGTTCTAGTTTTGGAGGGTCTCCACTATCAGTGACAGCTGCTTTCTTTTCTTCATTCACTTCAATAGGAGGAGGAGTAGAACATTTAGTCTACTAACACTTTTAAAAGCAATCAAAAAATAATTTGGTCAACCTTAGTGTTAATAGGAGAACTTTCCTTGTCAGCTATATATAAAAGGTATCAGTAATATAAATAATAATAAACTTGTTGTCATACTTTCCAATGTATTAAGATATTCTTGAGTTGCATCAAGCGATGCAGTTGAATCTGATGGGCACAAGTTAACAAACTTATAAGATACATCTGCATGTAAGGAGCAATATCAATGCAATAGGTTAGAACTCAATATAAAGTACACAAAACAGGCTTACTCATGTTTGAACTGCCTTTACGAAAGACAATTCTTATAATTTGCGAGTCGCACAATCTAACCTAAAAATTATAATAATTTGTGCAAAATAATTAAAAAATATAACTAATTAACACATTAATATGTAAATTTTACTTGTTCTTTGTTGATTTTAACACCATTCACAAGCGTACCATTAGTACTAAAGAATAAATAATTCTTAAATTAATTTCCCAAAATTAATAATTAATTAAGTAGTTCTGTTGTAATTGTACCTCGTGTCTTTACACCAAATGACACCTTCTTCATCTTTAATGATTGAGCAGTGACATGAAGACACGTGCTTATTATTAAGAATGGCAATATCACAATCTTTTTATTAAAAAATCTTATCAGACTATGCAGCATGCAATTGTCCCCAAACCTTTGTTTCTGCCAATCTTAAACTCAGGTCTGATAATAGGGAAACGTTTCTCTGAATCTTCATCCAGAGATACCAGCAATCCCCAAGGATCTTCAGGTAAAGTATCTTGAGACATTTTTATAATTTTTCCAGCCTCCAGCCCCTCCCTCTATTGCAGACGTAACATGACGTAGTCTAGTCATGATGTTGACCACGCCTATTATACTGTAAACTAAAACTAAAATGGATGGTGAGGAATGTGTTTGTGCCTGTATTTGTGCTATGAGGAGGTTGATGGAGGCAGTGAGTTATACAGTAATTACCCGAGCCTTCACTTTACTCATTTCTTTAGATAAAAATGTCTCAGAATCTTTGTACGGACACTGGTTGCCTTGATGGATGTAAGCCATTGAACTATGGATAGGATAGTATCCATGATTGAACTGACATGTTAATGTGTACATTATCAATAATTATTGTTCTATAGATCCAGCATTGCCCCAGCCTCCATTTTTGGATGAATACACGAAGCTCCTCTTACTAATGCTACTAGCTTTCATCCTTGCCATTCTTCTCTTCTTGTACAGGTAAAGCTTAAAGCTAGTCAGTTGTGAGCCGAGTAAATGTATATTTATTATGTTTTAGACCAAAGAGTTTAAGATCAGGACACAATGGGTCTTGTTAACTGCTTTATTGATCATTTATAATGACATACTACATTGTACTCATTTTATACTCATTTATGCTACTTCATTTATCTCTGTTGACATAATGTACCTAATTTTTATTGTAAAATGTGCTTTTGAGTCATGGCTAATGAGTTAACCAATAATCTATAGTCCTGTGGCAAAAGTAATACTTTTGGCTGGTCAAACTTGCATAAAACCATGCTTGGCAGGTAATGTAAATTCACAGCAAAAGAGGTGCTAGTTATGATATAAAATTGTTTAAAATAATTATAATAATAACTATTATTATATAATAATGTTTATGACAATTCATCTATTTCGTTATCATATTTTGCTTTCGCTGCTGCATAAGCTTCAGGATAATTAGCAGCAGCTTGAGCTTTGAGATGTCTAATTCTTCGAAAAATGGAGTCCAACTGTTTCTTCAAATCGCCCAGCATCTTGGTCTTCTGTCTGAAGTCAGCAACAGATTTTTGGAATGTTTCTTCAGAGACATCATTTAATGATGAAAGTTTCCAGTTTGTTATCTCCAATACTTGGAGCATTTTGGCTTGTTCTTGTCTAATGGCCACTATCTTGTCATGAGGGACTATTTCAGATAGATTATTTATGAAAATGTCGCCGTCAGAAGCAGTTCTGGTTGCCTCCTCATCAATATGGTCATCAGAAGTGGATGTATTTGCATCTGGGGCCACACTGTCGTCTTGCTTGTCATCTTCCTCACTTTTTTCTTCCACGAAAGAGGTAGCCATTTTTAGTTTGCAAAATTAGCCCCACCCATTTTAATTAGACATGTGAGTGGAATCACATGCATTATGCAAATAGTGTCTCTATACTTCAAAAAATTTTTTAAAAACAACAATTAGTCAATTATTACTATCTTTTAGATCTACCTATGAAACACTTATTGAATCATTCAAGTTCAAATTATTTCTATGATGAAATTGCAGTTGCTGCTCTCTTCTACGAAGCTTGTACTTCATAGAAAGACGAGCAAAAATGATGAATGAGATAAAGCACAAAATGGCTCTTACTAAAAAGTAATAAAAACCTCGACTAATAGGAGAAGATGTCGATGCCATATAATAACGAAATGGGAGTAATAGTACAAAACCGAATGCCTGTCTTGAAATCCAAATGAAAAACCACAGTCCGACGATAGTCCCTCTCATTAAAACAGGTGACTGAGCAAGAGTGAATTCAAAAACTGCTATTTGAAAAGCATACCTTGCAACTGCTTTGGGTAGTGCAAAAAATACATTCCAATTCATTCCTGGGTCTGTTTCATTTGCTACACCAAGAGAATAAAGACAGTTGAATTGGTTACCAGAAGTATAAACACCTTTCAATGACAGAACGGAGTATGCAGCATTAAGAGCAACTGCAAACATTAGGCCAATCCCAATCCTCTTGAGCATACTGGGGATATACCTGTGGAAGAATGGGTAAACAAGAAACTGATGAAGAAGGATCATGATAAGATAAATCGAGAGAAGACTGATGCTTGCAACTGTGCCATTCTCACAGCCATAGTTTTTCTTACCAGGACCAGTAATAGAATCATCATATGATAAAGGGATGGCACATGATAGTAGGAGTGGTATTATTTTCAGTACAGTCTTCACATCCTCAACCTTTTCTTCTGAGAATGGTCCACCATATCTCTCTTTACCCAGATCCAGTCTTGAAGGAGCCTCTTCCTCCCAATAAATGAATGCCCTACGACTTGCAGGATATTTATGCTTTCTAGCATAACATAAGACCCTAATGATTGATGTCAATGGATTAGAGAGCGCAATTGTATTCGGAGGTTTGAGGAGTAGGAACATACCACAAAGGTTGTGCGTGATTAGTACTACAGCAACACAGATGCAACAGAGAAAATACAAATACAGTTGATAGTTAGGTATGTGACCAAGCTCAGTGCATAATGAAACTATCAGTGGCCCAACGTTATGCCAGTGAATGACGGCACTTAATTCTTCGCCAGATGACTCAAAAAGCTGATCAATATTAAATGGTAACAGATTGACTCTAACACCAGCCAAAGTAAAAGATAACAGGTAGCACAGAACTTGATTAAATATGACAACAAAGTTCGATCTTAGATCCAACAGTGCTAAAACAGTTAGCAAAGTAACAACAGCAAAAGAAATGTAAGCCCCAGCAATGATTAGTTTATACCTGCTAATAAAAGCATCTCCAATGAACCCAAAGAGAAGAACAGCAAGACCTGCAGTGATCCACAAGTATACTTGATCAACTGGAAGATATCCAAAAACGTTCACAGCAATCCCAATGCACAGATCCCAGAATAGCACCAGGAGGGCTCCTTTGGAGTGTATTAACTGGAAGCGATAAAAGGAAGGACAATGTATCCTGTGGCTGGTACTTGATAATGTCCTTAGGAGAGGAGCATTATTGGCCATCATTGGTAGCTAAGTAGAGCAAATTGTATTTTTATTTTTTACTGATTAACTCTACCTTTAGCAGCTTCTTGTTGTCAGTTATAGGTTATTGCAAGCGAAGTGAAAATGAAAATTGATAATCATTGCTTAAGGGAAACAAGTTATCACTTTTATTATCGTAAACTTCTATAGAGTTACCATATACCTCACTAAATAGTGTGAGCTACTAAAGGGACATCTACAGATATTTGAATTACTTGCTAGTAAGCACAAAAAAATATTAATAATAATAAGTAAAGGTCAACAACAACACAACATGCCATTAAATGAAAAGAAAGGAATTTGATCTGTCACTATATAATAATAATAATAATAATAATAATAATAATAATAATAATAGTAATAATAGCAATAATAATAATAATAACGTAAAACTTGAGTCACCACAAATTAACAAGTTCGATGTAGAATGATGAGAGGATAGAGAATATTAATACTGAACTTGTGCCCTTCATTTAAAATAAGAGTAGATGGTAGCTAGGAATGTCATCATACTCTTGGGGTCAGGGGAGCCAGCTGCAATAATATCATCAACATCAAAAAAACGCTCCAAGCCAGCATCCCTGAAATTGAAAAATCAATATACATGTAGCTCAATTTTTAATTTTAAATGTAACACTACATGATGTTTTTATACACGTACATGTAGCTCCATTTATGGCATAAGCAGTTATGATATATCTGGCAGTTTGCCAGTAAACAATGAGTTTATGAAATTAGATTAATAACGATAATTAGCCAAACATTCTAACTCAATAATAGTCCTATCATACAGTGTGGCAGGAACAGACAAAACAAGACTACAAGTGGTGCATTTACAAGCTTCAGTTCCAAAATAATGCAATAAATACGCATAGCAAGTATCAAGTTACTATGACACTCAAAAATCTAAAAACAAGCCGTGGCATGCTTTAATGTTACTCTTGTATAAAATCAGATTAAAATTCTTTGCAAACTTCTGATAACTTATTACAATGTATATATGTCAACAGTTCTAATAATAATAACACACACACACATGCACGCACACACACAAGGTATTATTATTATCGTTAAACTAAAGCCATCAAAAACATAATCAGGCTGTACATTCTCTAGCCTTGTACTATTTTTAAAATAATTATTCTATGCTTATACACAGGATCTGTACAACAAAACTCACTCGGCAGCTTTGAGGGCAACGGTATAGTTCTCTCTAGCGTTAGAAGGCGAGAGATCATCGTAGGGTATGAGCTCGGGAACAAAGTTGTGAAGAATGGCACAGAGTGCAAGACCGTCTCTCCAGCTGTTACTGAAATCTTTGACGTCAACATTCTGAGAATTAAGAAAATAATAAATAAGCAAAATTAGAACAAAATTCTAATGCATATCAAATCACCATTTAAACATTTTTAAAGGAGCCAATTTTTGAAAAAAACCTTTACTATAGCCCATGGTTTTTTCCAAAAAATGGCTCCAAAATCACCCCCAATTTTTATTACATTTTAAAATACATATTAACATCCTTATGCTATCTAGAAAGTTTGAGCCAATTCCGACTTCAATTTTCAAAGTTATGGCCATTTTTTAAAAACTCCCAATTTCAGAAAAATACCCTGTACTATAGCCCATGGTTTTTTCCAAAAAATGACTCCAAAATCACCCCCAATTTTTATTACATTTTCTGATACATATTGATGTACTTATGCTACGTAGAAAGTTTGAGCGAATTCCAACTTTAATTTTTCGAGTTATGACCATTTTTTAAAAACTCCAAATTTCAGAAAAATACCCTGTACTATAGCCCATGGTTTTTTCCAAAAAATGGCTCCGAAATGACACCCAATTTTTATTACATTTTCTGATACATATTGATGTACTTATGCTACGTAGAAAATTTGAGCCAATTCCGACTTCAATTTTTTGAGTTACAACCATTTTAAAAAAACTCCAAATCAAAAGATACTTTTACACATTAAGACTGAGTCATGAAAACTCCTAACAGTGATTACCTCATAATAGCGGGTTTTGTGTTGGCACCATGCAAGGAGCTGCTGTTGTCCACTACTGCTCTTCTGCCTAGTGAAACTACGCTCAGAACTAATAAAAAACAACAACAACAATAAATAATAACAATAACAACAACAACAATAATAACAATAATAATAATAATGTACATGCATGCTACTAATAAATGAGATTAATAATGACATACTTTCCTCCATTGGCTTGATCCATTTCAGCCCATTTCTGCTTATTGGCACTCCTCTCTTGTCTCCTCTTGGCTTCTTCTTTCTCCTTCCTCTCCCTGTAGGACATCTTTGGCTCAGAATCTGCCACTGAACATTCAATCAAAAAATAAGACCATTAGTAAGCATAGTATCACTTATAAACACTAGTATCCCTTATACCATTTAATAATATAAGTAAGGGTATGGAATAAGTGCATGATATAATTAACTCACTGTTTTTCAGCCTTTCTTCCCTAGCCTTTCGTCTAGCTTCACGTCTAGCTTCATAAGAATCCTCGGCAGTTGATGATGCTGTAGTATCATTACTTGAAGACACAGTAGAAGACGTGCTAGTCTGAGCAGGTTCCTCTTTCTTCTTCAGCTCTCTCTCCCTTCTCCTTGCCTCTCTTCGTGCCTCGTAGCTATCCTCAGGTGGAGGGTTGTCTTGTTTACCATCGTCACTGGAAACTGATGACTTAGCAACAAGAGAGCTTTTATTGTTGTCTTGTTTACCGTCGTCACTGGAAACTGACGACTTGGCAACAACAGAGCTTTTATTGATGGTTGGTTCATCAGTCGTAGAACTAGAGGAATGGACGGGAGAACTGACAGGAGAGCGACCCTCAGAATCCTAAAAAAAGAATAACACTGTAACAGTACAAGGACTATGACTGTTAATAGCAAATGCAGCACTGTACATGTGACTATAATCAAAAGTAAGTCATCAACTCTTGATAATACACATCCATACTTTAAGCTCTTACTTTTGATCGGAGATTTGTTCTGAAATCAATTTGAGCTTTAGAGCCGGATTTGAAGTCCTTCTTGCCAGGTCCATCGCTTTTCCTAAGGACATTACGAAAGTCAACCTGCTCCGCTTTCTTCTTTGCTGAAGGAAAGGCGGCTTTAGTATCAATCTTAGCAGCTTCGCTTTTTCGGAGTTTCTTACGGAAGTCTTTATCTTCTTCGAGTCCAGGCTCGGCCACGGCAAGGACGTCTTTGACATTTTCGCTCGACTTGCTTTCGGTTGGTTCAGGGTATCTCTCTTCTAGCTGTCTCAATTCTTCATCATCGTCATCATCGTAATCGTACTCAGCATTATCAGCCTAGAATAATATAATTAGGAAAATCTCTTGCCAATACAACAATATTCCCTAAAACTCAATGCAAAATGTATAGCAAATGCCTAAAAATGCTATTATTAGTTAGTTAAATAATAAGCTTACATCTCTTTGATCTGCAGGTTCTGGTGATGGAGTTGGTTCTTTTAGGGGTTCTGGAGAAGGTGTGGGCTCTTTAGGGGGTTCTGGAGAAGGTGTGGGCTCTTTAGGGGGTTCTGGGGAAGGTGTAGGTTCTTTAGGGGGTTCTGGGGAAGGAGTTGGCTCTTTTATGGGTTCCGGAGAAGGTGTGGGTTCTTTAGGGGGTTCTGGAGAAGGCGTGGGCTCCTTAGGAGGTTCTGGAGAAGGCGTGGGCTCTTTAGGGGGTTCTGGAGAAGGCGTGGGCTCTTTAGGGGGTTCTGGAGAAGGCGTGGGCTCTTTTGGAGGATCAGGAGAAAGATGATTACGATCATTAGTTTCTATAATGAAAATAAACATTATTCATATCATATTGATACACTACAGTGGTATATCCCATAAGGTTGTGTGGTCTAACCTGACCTGACCACACATTATAAAAGGCTAACAAGACAGTCTAAGAGATAATGGGTCCCCTTAAAGCATGCTGGAATGATAACTGGTCTGAATCAAACCATAATGACATGCTTAATCATACATGCATTTAGCTTGGTTAGCAACAACCAAATTAACACTTGTCCAGTGACTGTATAAAGCCGATAAATTATACTTGTATAAGTAGCAATAGTAGCAGTAGTATTCTAAATACGGCCCCCATGCTTCCTCAATGTAATTATGCTAACTCCAATTTAGCACACTTTTAAGTTTTAACAGTGACATGGATATACGTGTATTCAAAATAATACAATTTGAATTCCCTAAGTTATTATTATCATTACAGGCGCTATTAAATATGAGCTCAATTCCCATATCACTTAACACACAGTATGATATAAGTGGCTGATATATATATACGACAATACATAACAGGGAGACAGTGCAGAGGTATTGACACACAAATACAAGTAATGACAAGAATTTAGCGTACAATGTACATACATATCTGGATCATTAACCATTTGATAAAATACACAGTACGATAGAATAAACAATGCTAAAGTTCAAGCAGCAGAGCGTCAGTAGTGATAATTGCATTGATAACAGGTGCTTAAGAGAGCATGAAGAAAGAAGAGTAAAGGATTACAAAAATAATAATAATAACATAAAGAAGGAATGGAGGAATGTTGCAGGCCCAAAAGAGAGAGGATTTTAGATATATTTTTTACCTGAAATAGCATCATTTGTTGAAGGGCGTCTTTCATCAAGACTCTATAAAAACAGAAGCAGAGAAAACAATGAATATGATACAATCAAAATAAAGGCCATAATGAGTTAACATTTGGCAATACAACAACAGTACCTACAAGGCATCTCAAACATCATGTTTACCATGTCTCTTGCTGGGGGAGTATGTTTTCACAGACCATGTAATAGGGAGGTTGTACTCCAGAGAACAAACAAGGCTACATGTAACAGCCATTTATAGTTAAAAGACACACGGTGCATATGGTAAAAGTGCTAAATGGTACTAACACAGTACATCTATGCCAACAGTTAACTCATTAATTGGGAGGTAATGCCCTACCTTTGGTTCCGGGGTTTGACCTGGTGTCCCGGTCGATTGACTGGAACTGCGTGACTTCCTCCACCAGTGATCCTCCGACCCCCCGCCCCCCTGGGGAACAATGTTGCTGCTAGTGGATGCGTGGCTCGGCGAAGAAGTATCAGTGCTTCCTTTTCGGGTTTTGTTACTTCCCTGTGATCCTAAATACCCGATTGTAGGCGTATTCTTGTCCACACTTTTCAACGGTTGGCCGTCTTTCACAACACTCGGGTAAACGTTCCCAGTGACAGAATTAGGTATGGTAACGGTCCGTGGTGCTTGAAAGCCCGGCCTGCGGTACTGACTGCTGCTGGCTGCTCTCCTGCTTATTGGCTGTCCTGATTTCTTCTTTAGCTCTCTAATGGCTGCCCTGATCTTTGAACGGGACTCGTAGTCGCTGGCATCCTCGAGCTAGAGTTGTGAATAAACAAAAGGAGAGGCTATCATACACAAACACTGACTATAATGTAATCAAAAGCAATGCTGAAACAATTATATACGAATCGCTTTTACAATTAGTTCATTATAGCTTCCTTACCATACTCTTGAGGGTCGCTTCGTCTAATTCGCTCAAGTCTGTGGCCATCTTGAGAGATGTTTCGCGTTCTCTTTGCTCAAAAGCTTCTCTCTCTCCCTGGATGTGTACTGGTATATGCCCCCAATATGGAGTCGGACCGGCTTTTATTCATGCATGAGCCACATCAAAGGGACCGCCTACTACAAATTTATTCATTAACAAAAATGTTCACATATGATCAACATTAAAAAGAAACACATATTATATAATAACATGTATGTACATGTTTGTGTATGACAACACATAGGTCAGCATTCTAAAGGACAGTGTCTTTTAGATGGAGGCCTTCCTTCTACTGCTGAGATCTTGTCGAGTGATTCGTCTTCTTGCAATACGATCTCTTCCCAATCAACTTTGGCAACAGAATCAAGTCCAGCATGATCATCATCAGTTACATCTCTCACTCCATCTTTCTATATAAAAAAACAGTAAAAATTATTTTTTAAACCTGCAACCAAGCAAACACAGTGGCAGCTGCTTACTGTTATTTGATAAGACACAACACTCTCTGGGTGTGATGGAGACTTATAAAGATGTGCTTGTCTTTCCTTACCCTCCCAGTAAAGAATAACACGAATAGTACACACATGCCCCCAACTCTCACCTATAAATCACCAATAGTACATAATGTCACAATAAAACCTCATGCAAGCAAATCAAACTAACTTCGCTACGCAACATCAAAATAATTATTACAGTGAATTGTGTTGTGGGATTGGGTGCATTTTAAAAATTTTACAACTAATGCATGTAAAGGAAACAGCACAATATCCCATACCAAGTGCTGGTACAAGCTGTGATTGTCCATTGCTTTGAGTTTTGGTGGTCATCTGGTTCGTGAACACAACCTAAAAGAGCGTAAGAGGGTGAAATATGCTGAGAGCGTCCATTCGGCTTACGGCCAGACTGAACTGTGTAGCTAGCTTGAGAAAAGTCTGAGCTAATCCAGAGAGCAGTCTGTGGCGTAGCCCCATATCCTTGAAACTGCTTCTAAACGGGCTAGCAATGCTGTCAACAACTATCAGGCATACCTAAGGAATAACTGATATTTGTGAGAGCAATTAAAATAAAATTAAAATCAATTAGCAGTGATTGACAACTGAAGACATACAAGGCATCGGATCTATTAAATAAGAAATGTGGACGCATCCAATAATCACTTTGAAACTGAGTGAATTAGAATCTTTAATAGTTTATATCGAGTCTAGCCAAAATGATCTAATGTCTGATGTAGTATTTGGCACCTTCCAGTGACAACGCACATCAAAAAGAAAAGAATGCAAGACAGTGATTAATAGTACCAGGTTTGGAATGAAAGGGTAGACAAAAAGTCATCCTCATATCAAAAATTAATAATAACCATGCAATTGAAAACTTTATTTTGGCAAAAAATTTAAGCATTTTTCAAGTAATTAAAAATAACGCAGCCATTTTGGTATTTAGATTAATTTTTAAAAGTATGAATTGTTAATTCTTGTCAATAATGAGAGTATTTTTACAGGGATAAGGTAACAGAGTACCTCCTTTGACATTCCAGTACAAGCTAAAACTGGCCAAAACATAACAGCACAGTTTATAGTATTTAGGAACAATGGTAAACCCAGAATAGATATCAAATCTTTGATATCCATTCTTGGAATTCATATGAAAATACTGGAATCCAAGATTACCTTTATTAGGCACGAGACAAGTGATGTCTATAAGTACACACAACAATGCCATCTTGGTATTTGTATAATTCAATATTTGTGGTGTAGTAAAAGATACCATATTTGGTCAAGAGTGCATATAACACAGATGGTCTATAGTAGCAGTGAGTGATCAGTAATATACTCTTGTTCATTGGTCTGAGAGTAAAGGGATTATAGTTCGTGTGGGATAGGAAAAACAGAGTGAGAGTGATCACAGACACAGAGATCATATAATAGCTATGATAGTGATTATAGTATTACAATGTCTCATACAATAACCAACAAAACCAAAGTCTACCTACACAGCCAACAAGAGTTTGTGATTGATTCATGAGTGATGTCAGTCCTGATCCGGCCTAATGCATCCTGAATCATGGATGTTGGGCAGCTAATATGGCAATGAGCATAGCTAAATCTATTAGCCTTGATACAATCATGCTGGAATTCATACTGGTTCAGCCAGAGCAACAGGCATGATTCAGCAATGACACCTGTCAGACTGTATCAATACTGTATCAATACTGTATCAATACTGTAATGAGGCTCAATTCATTGATTTCGGGCAGTGTCTTGTATCATACCTGTGAGCTCTTGTCTGTGTAATAAGACAAATATACATCTAGAGCTAGTAATATAGCTACATTGATTACAATATCATGCATGTACAATTTAACTTTAAATTTCTTTAAACATGTCTGATATATATGTAGCATAATGATTAATTGCTTCAACTAGCCTTGCTATTAATGTTAGAGATGGTCTGATGTAGAATGTTAGAGAGAGCAATGAGTTGAATGTGATTGTGACATCGATAGTAATGAATATTACCCAACACTACCTCTAAAGTGTAACCATCAGCTACAGCCAATAACTCTACAATAAATTAATAATAAAAAATACAACCCAAAGTATATGGATCTCTTTGTCACTTTGATCAAATTTTGAGCAACTTTAAAAATTCATAAAAAATCTAGTCTTGATCGGAATCAGTTCAAATTTTTTGCACAATATAAGAACATGTATATGTGTCAGAAAAAAATTATAAAAATGAAGAATTCTATTCTTTTCATTTTTGATAAAATTTGGCTGAAGACCCTGTACTATAGTACAGAGATTTTGGCCCAATTTCAGACCAACTTTATAAATTCATAAAAAATCCAATTTCAATCGGAGCGAGTTCAAACTTGACACACAACATAAGTACATGTATATGTATCAGAAAATATGATAAAAATGACAAATTCTCTCGTTGCTATTTTTGACAAAATTTGGCCGAAGACCCTGTACTATAGTACAGGGTCTTTGGCCTGATTTTGGAGCAACTTTAAAAATTCATAAAAAATCCAATTTCGATCAGAGCGAGTTCAAACTTGAGATGCAACATAAGAACATGTATACGTATCAGAAAATATGATAAAAATGGAGAATTCCCTCTAAGACATTTTTGACAAAATACCCTGTACTTACATTACAAAGATTATCGACTGTGTTTTTTCCTTACCTGGGTCAGCACTGCTCTTTGCTACAGAATGGACGTGTCTCACGGTAGCAGTGGCTATCTGTACAACTCTATCAATGACAAAACTTCCTTCAGTGTCAATGTAAACAGAATGCCCTCCACAGCCACCAAATGGTTCAGGCAGCGTAGCATCTATAGCTAACTGAATACTAGAGAGAGAGAAAGAAAGAATACTAAGAATCGTAACTCAAAAAATGAAAAATTTTAAACCAATATATAGAAAGAAAGAATACAAAAATTGGTAACTCAACCAATATATACCAGAGTATTGAGGATAAATGTATGTTATAATAGAAATTTAGTACATAGATCTACACGTCAACTTTTTCTAAGCCATAAAAAATTCTTAAAACCCACCTCAATTGGGTTTTCCCGATACCCGGAGAACCACAAAACTCTGTAATTTTACCGACCGGTACTCCTCCACCCAACATGCCATCGATACCAGCTGAAAACGTTACGATATGATCAAGATCTTGTTCAATACTCAACAGTTCGAGTGCAGTGCAGCCTTCATTCTTAGCACTGCCTACAACTTGCAAGGAACTGCCTGGTACCTCTGGAGAACTCAGCGTTGAGCTATGAGGTCCTTTCATCATTTCCATAGACGATGCATCTAATAATAGATGAACTGACACATAAATTATTTGTTATTAGTTCTTAATAGTTCAACTTATAATGATATGGACCTGCCCATATTAATTAATTAATAAGAATAATAATATCAGTAAAAATGTCTTCCTTCATACCTGCAGGGGTAATAGCCATCCTTACATTATAATAGCAGCAAGATCAGTACACAATCATAGCTTGAGATCTCGCTAAAACCTCCTCAACAGTCACCTGGAAACATTGAGATGGTATCACGTGCACCTGTTTATTCACCCACGTGAAACCACGTGGGCAATTAGCTGAACAGGAAGAATGGAAATTTATTACACAGAAATAATTCATATTTATTAATAAAAAATTATTACAAGCATAGCATTAAAACAGCAGTTCATCACACAATGTTTGGCTTAGTTTGGTTAAACAATGCCTTCATATCCAGCGTCACAAACTGTCTGTCATAAGCATTGGGAGGCCCAGACTCATTGCTGCCTTTAGCATTGCTCACATACATCTTGGAACTCTACATAAAATTTTTGAACAAAAGTAGCATAAATTTATATAATCTCTAATACTTTTAAAGTACCTCAAAATCATAAACAACAGCTTGAAGATCACCGGTTTGAACTTTACCCACCAAATTGATGACAGTTTCTGCACTCATGTTACCATGGGAATTACGCAATTGGCTGTTCCAGCAGCCCAAATGTACGCCCCAATAAACAATATCTAATTAATGATGATTATTATGATATATTATTGTGGACAACAGTTGCACCTTTTAATGCATAATTGTCAATGCAAGACTGGTCGCAATGCTCTTTCATGAAGCGGGATGGGTCAATTTTAGTGACATTGCTATCATCATAAACCTATAGAAAGGACAATTATGAATTCAATGACACTTTTAGTGGTCAAAATCCTTACATTAGCTGTGGAATATGAATATTCAAACAATCGAAATCTTTCTTCCTGTCCATCACCAACTCCAAGCCAAATTGAGCATGTTCTATGAGCATTTTGTATCCTCCTATAGCATCATGTATTAGGGTAAGTATAACAAGTATATAATACCGTATTGATTGTTCAAGTGATTCATCAAATTGGAGCACATCTCTCATGAGAAAGTTGAAAGGGATTCCACTCCTTGACTCCTGTCCCAGTGGTACATCAGAGTGCTTCTCAGATACTCCAAGGCCACTGGAAGACATTCCTAGAACACATTTAAAAGCAGAAGCAAGGCATCATATTAATACCTGAAATGGTAGTCAGCCAACCAGACCAGCCAACATTAGCAAAGGCATGACCATTGTCAGGATGATATATGACTACTGTTGGATAATCCTGAAGAGGTCCATTCACATCCCAGTCTAATGCACGAAGCTATTGAACTCAAAGTTGATATACTTAAGATAAACTCATTCTTATACCTGTGTCAATCCTGATTTGCTACTCAATGAATCTCCCCATGCCCCAAGCATAGAGCAACCAGCCTAGCACATAAAATTATAATGAGCACAAGCCATGAGCACGTGCATTATACCTTGACTAGTTCTGGTAGCATGTGAATGCGGATCACCATGTTATAGTCCATTTCAGCACCATCAGCCAAACCTTTCATCTCATCATAAAAATATTGGGCAGTGTACGGCCTAAAGTGAATGGCATTAAGCAAAATGGTAAAGCAGTTAGAAAGTAAAAATGCTAATAACTTTCATACACTTATCTTATCTACCTGCTAGATACTAGAAGTGAGTAGTGTTATGCTAGCTTGTTGTTACAATTAATATATTAATGACAATCTCTCCCTATACTTACTTTGTAAGAAGGTATGTTCCCTCCAATGCTTCATTAATTCCAACTTTAGCTACCTCATCTTTGACAACCTGTGGCAATCCTTTAAGATACACTTCCAATTCCTCATCCACGTGTTTCAAGAAAGCTGGCAGCAGAGATTGGATTTGAGGCTTAAGAAGGACACCATGAGCGTATCCCATGTCATAAGGACTGCCATAGACATGCAACACTAAAAGAAATACTCAATATCAACTCACAGTCCCTCTCTTTTTCCTCCTCTGTCTCTTTCTCTGCTCTTTCATACCAAATATTTGATCATCTCCATCTCCAGCAGTGTACAAGCTACCGTTAGCTACTTCTTTGACTTTGACCAGGTCCCCACTCCAAGGTACAAGGTTATTGAACGTTCCATGACATTCATCATCAGCACGAACAGCTCTATTGGCTAGCAGGATAGTTAGAAAGAGTGCTACAACCTTCATTTTTAAGGTCAAAAATGAGCCCAGCCCACTCTAATAGTATGCATTTATGCATTAAAAATATTCATATCACTTCCTTCATAGTAAAAAGAACACAAAAAGAATTATAATACGAAAAATATGATTCGCTATAGACTATTTGCTTAGGCTTAATGTCAAAATATTACAGCTTCTTAAAAAAATTAATTAGATCTAAACTATGATGTGATTTCTTGAATTGTAGAATGATTATATGAATTGAAAAAATCTCTCCACTCCTTAACATATTTTAACAAAGTTGTATTGCCTATTTAAATACAAAGAAGTACATGTCACAGCTATTATACTAATGCAATAACTCACTGATTATAATCAGCCCATGCTTAGCACGTGTAATCCCTACATTCATTTGATTCGTGTCAGTCAGAAATCCAATATTCTCCATTCTCCATTTCCTATCATCTTGAACAAATCTGCGATCTTTTATTTCATCATGTGGTAGCGTCCTCACTGTTGTCAATATTACAATATCATGCTCATCTCCTATTTGAAATTAAGCATTTAATGAACAACACATCAATGACCATGCATGCAGTATCTACATCATGCTCATGCATGTTAGATAGCAAACCTTGACTCTCAACAATTGTGGTAACTTTAATTCCAGTTAATGCATTCTTTGTAGCTGAATTTTCCTCTATCATCGTCTTAAGTAATTCCTTCTGACCAGCATATGGAGTCAATACCGCAATACTAGAGCATGGCACTCGATATTTATTATGTAACTTCTTTATGACATTCAACTATTAACAAAAATTAAGGTAAAACATAAATAAAAAGCCTGCAACAAAACAATTCATTGTAACTTACAACTACATCTGCTTCTCTTTTGTTTACTTTTGAGTGAATATCAAATTTTCCGGAAAAGGGTTGCTCAGAAGATAGCAGGTCATCATTTTCTTCCCCTTTAATATCATACACTGCAATACGGCAGTCATCTTGCCAGAAGGCAGCCATTGAAGACAGCCATGGTGGTGGATTTTTATTAACACTTGGGTCTGTTTCCAGCATACCATCATAAAATAACTCAGAAGGAGGATCACAAATGGTTTTATGCTACAATGAAGTTAATGATGATAATTATTAAAGGCCTTTCACTCACCATGCGATACTGTACTTTTAATTGAATAAGGTATCTCTCAAATCTGGGTCTAATGGCATATCTTTCAAACAGTGATTTACTCAGTCCATTTTCCCTAGCAGGATGAAAGTTGATGATTGGTTGTAGTTGCATATGATCTCCTATCAATACTACATGGTCACAGAGACTAGCTGCTGCTATTGTCTCTGGTTCTTGAGCCATACCACATTCATCAATAATGCAATGAGATATTCTCAAGCTTTTTGCCAAAAGGAGTAGTCTTTTGCTGCAGCTTTCATTACAAGTGCAAAGGATAATATCATATTCATCAGATAAGACTTTTTCCTCTGCTTCCATGATCAAATCTTTATAACTACAAAAGAAATAATTATAAAGGATATAGTCCATCAACTAATACATGATGCAGTAAATTACCTATTACGTTCAGATAATGATGCTATGATTTTTTTGTTAAAAAGTTTCAAAAACTTGGAACGCATTTCTTCAATTTCTGCATTTTCTTCTCTAATCTTGAAGTGTAATGAATCTTCCCTTAGCTCACGTAGACAACGTCCTTCAACAGGTTCAGGTATTTTTGTATCAAACTGACTCAAATTATGAAAGGGATTGGGGTAGTCATTTCTTTCATGAGTACGACCGTATAAACGAATCAACTTTAACTTTTTGTGATTCAACTTCTCTAGCCTTATATTGAGTTCACGGAGTTTTTCTAAAAAAAAAATCATTAGAATTGTCATTGTATTGTTACTGGCCCATACTATGAACGACATCAACAGCTTTGTTGGATGGGCAACAGTATAATACACTTTTATTAACAAGCTTTGCATTTGTCTTAGAAAAAGCATAAGCCAGATGAGCTCCAACAACACTTTTTCCAGTCCCTAGGTAATTATAATTAAATTTGAATTAATAAATCACTGAATTACAATACCTGGTGGACCTTGAATTAAAGAGAAATTATGTTTCATTGCAAACTCTATTGCTTCTACTTGTTCTTTATTGAGATCAACACTTTCATCATTCCATAATTTCAATGCAAAGGGATCATCTCTCAACCATGCTGTATCATTATCTATAGAAAATGTAAAAATAAGTGATTAAAAGTCAAAGAAGTAATTACAGACAACCAATACTTTTTGATTTGCTCAACTGAAGATTGCCAACAGCTATATCTTTAGCAAGTTTAGGCCAAGATTCATAATAAGTCAATCGCTGAAAGACACGCCTAAATTAAGATAAAATACAAAAAAGATGCAAATTAAATGTAGCATTAACATACGTGAAGGAGACTTGCATTTCAATAATTTGCAAATCACACAAAAAGCTAGATAAATGATCTTTCACATTCCAAGGTATCCAGCAAGGACTTCCCATAGACTTCATTGATATTGTAAGTGGAGACTTTACTCCTTTAGAATCTTCTTTGCTTTCCATATCAGTAACAACAAAATGATACACTGCTTGCCATTGCTTTTCAGGCACTTCATATCTTGCACACACAAAATAACCAACAGAAATGTGTATATAATTAAGAATATCTAATTTATTTTCATCAATAACGAAAGAAATTTCTTCATCAGTCACTGGCTCATAATGCTCAACATCTACTAAATTACTAACAAGATTCAACTGAGGCCATTTAAGATTAACATTTTTAAGGAAGCAGACACTGTTTTTGTGTGAGTTTTTCACACCCTCACAAGCAGCCTCAGCTACCATTACCTTGCTCCACAATTTAAAATATTGTTTCATGGAATTATAGTGTTCCTTAGAAGCTTGGGAAAGCTGAGAGTCTGAAAAACTTAAAGAAGGATGACGATTGTGTTGTAGGCAAACTTGAAAACCTGGAGCTATTTCCATTAATTGGAGGCAAGGAGTGGGGAATAAATCTCTCAGTGACTTGCCTATTTTCACTGTTAGCTCTTCCCCTGGATTAAAAGAACGCTTGACATCAAATATTACAACTGGACTGTCTAGCAATGACTGAGGTTGAGTACAAGTTTCATCATTTGAATTAATTTTTGGTAACTTTTTGATTACTGATTTAATAGAGTCAATAGATTCTGACTTGACGCAGTCTTGCATTTCTTTCCATAATTGAAAATCAATCTTATGCATTTTCGATGGTACTGATGCCTTGTATGTGGCATACTTCATTTGTTGTTCATCTTTACTTTCTGTGTTTGATGGTAAATATTCAAAAGCTACAGCATTAATGTGACAAAAGTCTTTTGGAAAACTTTCCGCTGATTCATTTTCATCAAAACTACCACAGGCTTGATCTGATTCTTGAGACTCAATAAACTGCATAATATTACCACTAATGCTAACTTTACCACTTAGTGTAGCTGAGATGAAGCGCCAGGCAGGCTCCTCAATTCTTTCATAGCTACAAATGTTTAAATAAGAATATTCAAAGGTAGTATCAATTTCATTCAGTTTGTCTTGCTCACTAATAATTAGTTGAAACCTTCCCGGCTTCTTTTCATGATAGCACTTTGCAAGGAAGCCTTGATATTCAGACAAACTTCTTTCACACTTTTGAGTTTTTTCGGCTCTTTCAAGCGTGTGATCAACCTTCTGTGTAACTTTGATCCTATGGTTAAGCATCTGACAAATTTCCTCCAATTCTTCTGGTGTATAATTTATATCTGATCCTTCCATTAGTGCAATAACTATTCGCTGCACTAAAAGGTCAAAGTATCGCCTAATTGGTGATGTAAAATGGGCATAGGCTGGCAATTTCAAATTGTAGTGTGAACGAGATATTATAGGATCATCATCAGGATCAATTTTAGCTATGTACTCTGCTGGTTGGTTTATTTGCTTAGCTACTGAGTGAGCCTGAGCTAACTGTGGGTACAAAAAATCATTGGACAATACCCACAATAAAAGCTTAAGATTAGAAGATGAATAGGCTGAGCACAACAAAGATAAAGAGATGTTTGTCATGATGAAAGGTTGTGGTGTTTCTGCAGGAGGCTCTAGTGGAAACAGATAAGGATAACTAGAAGTAAATAATTCCTTAAAATTTTCTAATTTCTCTGGTAAAGGTGGTAACTGCCTTCGAACCAGAGCCATATTCTCATGGCCGAGATGCATAACAAGATAGTCTGCTATTTTAGAATTAGCCCAAATCATCAACTCAGATATCAAGAATTTAGCTTGCCAAATTTCTCTATCAACCTTTTCATCAAAAGAAAATTTTCCCAAACGATCCTCGTGTAGTTTCTTTGCTACTTTGTATAAAAGGCTTAGAGTATCCTTCATGTCTAATCCTGGCCTTGTTCCATTGGTAAGAGCAGCTTGCCTATTAAATTCATTAACTTGATCTTCTAAATCGGTATCTTGGAGTGGTTTATCATCCAATAAGTTTTGAGCAGCTTCATATGTTAGTCTAGCTTGTGAAATGATTGAAGCCTTCCTAGGACCATCAGTGCCAACAGAACAGTCTATATTAACTATTTCTCCATTTCTCACTACTACTTTGGCTGGTATAGTCAGTACAGAGTGTCTCGTGTTTGCATTCAAACTAAAGGAATTAGGTGTTGGAAGCATATGCATGGCATGAACTGACTTTCCTTTTTTCTTTGCTTCATTATCCAATGGACAGCCTTTAGAGATGGCACTAGCAACGTTACTAATGTGAACAGCTAATTCATACGTGTCAGGTTCTGTGGAACAAGTTAAACTTAGGGCATCATCCATATTAATGGTATTTGGACCATCAATGGTAAAAGCTAATCCATAATGGCATAGTCCATCATCAATTGGAATCGGTTCAGGATAAACATCAGGCATAACTTTGTGGACGTCATAAGCTACTTTAAGTAATCTCTCGGTAAAGAAAAGATTAGATGTACGAGGCAATGCCTCTATGACTGCTCCTAGAGGTCGGCTATAATTTGGAGACCAACCTAATATTTGTACTACAAACAAAAGATCACCAGCCAATTTGTGAGAAATTAGCTCTTTTATTTTTGGAAGCTCGTCACTGTCCATGTCTTTAAGCAAATGCAGTGATGAACTGGAGAATACAGAAATAAAGCATTTCTCTGTAACATTTTGTTCATAGTAAGATATTACAATTTTAGGAATTAGATTAACAATGCTTGGTACTGACTTGTCAAGTGGAATGAAATGTATATGTGAGAATCGGTCACTTCTGCAGATAAACCTTGATTGATGTCTGGATTTTGCTATTGATGCAACTTTGCCACAACTTTGTTTTTCTTCGAAAGTTTTAACATGTACAATGTCTCCATCAAAGGCACAACGCCTGTGTGAGTTACGAACTAGTCTGATTGGTTTTCTTTCCAACCCTTTACAAGGAATCGCTTCAACTATTTGATTAGTTGACACTTGTAATTTACATTCAATAGCAACAGAAGATACAGGCATTTCGTCATCATTAGCTATTTCTATCTCTTCATCACCTCCAAGAGTTTTCCATCTCATTGTTTCATCAAGTTTAATTTTGTGTTTCTTACTCTGACGCTTTTGGTGGAATACCTTTCTATATGAATCCATGATGCTATCAATGACACCATTTTCAATTTGTATATCTTCTTCTGCTACTTCAGGAAATATCATATTTTGTAATTTATCTATAATACCATCCCTGTGAGTACAAGCTGCTACATCTGGTATAATAAAAGTTTTAAAAACAATGCACCTCTTTATGTACTCTTTCCAACACGAAGCCTCCTTGTTCATAAGTTTCTCCATTGTCAGTAAGAGGAATGGATTGCCAGCACATACTACAAAAGATTTAGCACGTGTCAAAACAGTGTTAAACACAAATGGACTACAAGGGGTCTTTGTAGGAGTGAATGACTTCCCTGTTGCTGTTGTAGGTTCAGCAGTGCTAAGAAACACAGCTTCAAATTCTCGACCTATTTGAAAAGATGATCGATAGCATCAATCTAACTAGATCAAGACTCTACCTTGAATCATATCAATTGTTAACACTTCAATGCTATCAGCATCAGCATTACTTGAGTACTCATTATTAGAGCTAATTTGTTTGAGAAACATTGACCTCTGTGGTATTGATAATCAAAACAATAAAGTCTAATATGTTTAATATTACCTGATTTGGAGTTGATGCTATAATACAAATATCTTTTAAGTTTCTTTCTTCTCGAGGCCCTTCCCCACGATCCAAATACTTTGTTACTTCTTTTAGTAGCAGATCAACTTCTGTTTTAGAAGTGGAATTGTGTACTTCATGCTCTTCACTCAGGTTCGTACAGATAAAATGAAAAGGATATCCAAGGCTAGCAGGTGAGCGAAGAGTAGTAGCTGTAGCTGATGTAAATAGCACAGAGTTATAAAAAAGATAAGAAGGAAGAGATAGTATGGTAGGATGACATCTGTAATTAGTTAAAAGTGTAGCACAATGACTGGCAGATGCATCAGTCTTTCTATAGACTCCATGAAGCCTCTCCAGCAATGACACACTTAAACCATTATGTATAGCTGCTTCTCCTAATACTATTAGTGATGGGCCAACCTATAACAAAGTATAATACAAAAACATCAATAATTATTGAACAATTCAGTTACTTGTTTGTGGTCTCCAGCAATAATGATTCTTGTGTTACTGTCTGCCAAGCATAAAGGGATTATTGATTCTGGCTCCCTTGCCTGAGCTCCTTCATCTAACAGAATATGAGAGAAGCAACCTTTGTGGACGTTATGATTTCCATGTAGCAAGTTAAATGAAGTAGAAAATGTGGTAACAATCAACCGATCATGACGCTTATTAAAATAAAAATCTCTCGCATCTTCATAAAAGTCTTGACAACCGGGAGGCATTCTGTATTGCGACTTTGAGGGGACAAGACGAACAGCATTAACATTCCAGCCACAATTCTTCATTTTAAAAAAATAATTCGTAATAAATGTATCAGCACAGTGTTGGTGATGAGTGCATATAAGTACACAATTTGATTGATTGTCTCTCAGTATTTGATAAGCAGCTCTAGCTAGTAATCGTGTTTTACCAGTACCAAATGATCCAATGACTAAAACTGGTGCCTTGCCTACCTGACAACTCATAATTAATTTTAAAGCTTCCATTTGTAAATTAAAAGAGCCTTCATCAAGTTCAATTATATGGTTTAGAGAATTAGCTGGTTGTGGCAAGTTCGGTTTGTCATCACTGTTAGTGAAATCTGATACATAAGCTGGAATGAGTCTATTTATAGTCGCTGGACTTAAGTTTTCAAGTGCTTTACAAAGGCGATCAAAGTACCATCTTTTTAGAACAAAACTAATAGCTACATTTGAAAAATCTCCTTCATGCTCCTCCAATTCCTCCATTTCTTTAATAACTTTTGACAACTCACTTTGGGTGAATGCAATTATAAGTGATTCATTCTTCCAAAGATGATATCCACTAACAACTTCAGCCTTTACTATTACACCTGAAGGATAATGTAGTCTAACATTATCTGTCTCTGAGCTAGCTTGCTTAATATGTGATACCACATTTCCATTGAGATTTACACCATGTATTAGGCCATATCGTACATGAGCAGGGTTTTTATTGTATTTTAGATAGGGAACAAAGCCTGATTTAAAAATCTTTACATTATATTCTCCATCACATCTACAAATAAAAAACATGAAAATTTAATCACAACTGTTAAAAACTTTCTGAGAACAATTATTACATGCATATAAAAGCCAACTGCTAAAGTCATCAATAATTTCACATACCTTTCCCTTAATAAATGATAGTGCTCTTCTTCCTCGAGCTTAAGCAATAATTGAAACTTCTTTTTGTAGTTTTCTCTTGTAAGTGGAGCGTACAATAAAGCTTCATCAAATGACACTTGGTCAAAACTATTTTCTACTTCTGCTATGATGCCTTCATTCTCTATATTAGCTCTTCCTTTCTTTTGATCACATAAAGGTGGGAAAGCCTCCCCTAAAGTCTATTACACACATAAATATTAAAATTAAAAAATTTTTAGACTAACATATTGTCGCCTATGTGTTTCTCCACCAGAATTTCTGCTCCTTGAGTTTCTTTTATCATTAAATTTGAATTGCTGTGACAACTTGGGAACTTTTACTACTGGATGTGGTGCTATAGAAACACTAGTCCTGTTATATTCAAATAATTAAGAATAAAAATCAATATTACCATTACACAATGTGCATCACAAAATTCATAAAATTGGGATGTTTTTGAGCTACTTTAGTTTGCAAACATAACATTAAAAAATGAGTCATCAGAATCAGCGAGCATATAATAAAGGTATGAATATGCATTAGAATATGTAATAAAAATAAAAAATTTTTAAAGCAGTTTTTACTCAATCAGAATTTGCAATACACATAAAGTTATTCTCTAATGGAATCATGGTATTATAAGCATTATTGACATGCATCAGAGAATGTAAGAGAAATTGAGAAATTTTGAAGCATAGTCTTAGTAATAATAATATTAGTAGTCTTATAGTAATTTTAGGTAATATTTACCTTATGTCAGGACATTGAAGCACTGGTTTAGGATCAGCTGATAATGGTCTAGGATTATTAGGCATTATTTCTTGGCTCACAACACCTTTCTTTTTTCTTTTTTTCTCCTGTCCGTGAGATGAGTTTATTTCAGGAGAAACAAGTAGTTTTAAAGAATCAGATGATTGCGAAATGTTTGAATGGATTGGAAGTACATCTAAATGAGTAGATCTACATGTACTTGAAGAAGTCTTTAAAGTGCCAGAATTATGTGTTGATTTACAATCAGAAGAAACACTTTGATTGGATGATGGTTTAGGATTGCTGGGCATTTTTTCTTGACCCACACCACCTTTCTTTTTACTTTTTTTCTTGCATTTGAGAGATGATTCCCTTTTTGAAGAATCAAGTGCTTTTGATGAAGAAATGTCTGACTTTAAAGGACTCACTGATTTTGATAAAAATGAAAGGTTTGCAGGAACTTGAGATGAATTAGTAGCTGAAGCAGTTGCAATAGAGTGAGTGTCAGAATCAGTATCACAACTGGAAGAAATACTAAGATCAGAACGAGGCCTAGAAGTTGAGTTACTAGTCAATTGAAAGAGACTGCGCAAAAAAATAGATAGGAGAATGACACACATCATTATACACAGCAATATTTGGAAACAAAATTGTTGGAAGAATTCAGCTACTTCTAGTAATAGCTTTATCATTGTTGTCATTGGCCCACTTGATTCAAAATTGTTTGAAACATCAGATGGTGACACAGAGCTAGAAGACATGCTAATAAAGTCTTCTTTTGACATTGAACAACCAGTACCTGTACTTGCATCTTTAGATGAACCACTTAGCAAGGTCACTGAGTTTGAAGGCATATTCCTATCATTCCTTGGTGCACAATTAGAAGGCATTACTGTAGTAGTCAATTGGTTTATTGAGTGTGAATGCACAGTAGAAGGAATATAACATACATCATTGCATCTTGTACTTGAAAAGCTCTTATTTTCATTGACACCAGTAGCTATGTTACACTGCCCCAGCAATGGCCATTCATCTTCGTCTTCTTGCTTGGTTGAACAATCTGCTGCTTGATATTGAGTAATTGCATTGGTCACAGTATAATCAAGCTCCATTTCATCACAGTCAATGCTACTGTTTTCTGGGATTAACATTACTTTCCAAAATAGCTTCATAATTTCTAGAGAGGAAAACCATATCATGAATTCAAGAAAAGCTCTCACTTACTACTGCAGTTTTGAGTAATTAAAATACTCCCAAAATAATTTTGAATGCAAGGAAATGCTTGAAATAGGAACTCTGGAACAACAAAGGTACCATTATTAATACACCTATTAATAAATTCTTTCCAGCACCACATCGGTTTATCCACTGTAGCTTCACACATCATCAGAACCAAAGGATTACCAACAGCCACTACAAGACACTTTGATTTAGTAATAGCTGTATGAAATACTGCAGGATGACAGAAGGACTTCAAAATATCCACTGGTTGATAAGAATCATCTAAATACTCATAAGTGCTCATGAAAAGCAATGTATATTGTTGATCTAAAATGTAAAAATATGAGAAAAAATGAATTGAAAAAATTGTACTAGTTTATCATAAATATATAGGATAATAGGATCTCATACTTGGTAAGTCATTAATTCCATAGACGTTTAATCCTTTCAAACAAGAATAATTTTCATCCTCACAAATAATACTCTCGATCTTAGCTATCTACAGTACTGAGTGGTAAAATTATTTTTCTTTATTAAAATATACCTGGTTAAAACTTGCAGAAATGACACAAAACTCAGTCAATGAATAAATTTTATCATTTAAAACCTTCTTCACTTCATCAAGTATTAAAAACGACTCGCAAAAACTCATTGATGATAAATCATTAAAACTGGAACAAACAAACTTCAATGGATAAGAATCAGTCATTGCTAAACTACAGGACACCAGTCTTGACTCATAGAATATATGGGATGACAGATTCAGTATATCCTTGTGACATTGGTAATTGCATCTTAGTAAAACAATAAATTTTTTGGCAGCTTCTCCAAGTTCAAGGTAATGTGAATATAATCTTTGAAAAAGGGATTCACCAAGCCCATACTCCTGAGGTTCATCACCTGTGACTGATATTTTTGGTCCAGCCTATAAATGAAATTCATGAAAATTATAGATCAATTTTTGAACAAGTAAAAAAAATTGTGTAAAAAATCCAATCTGGATTGAAATAAGCTCAAATTTTTTACACATCATAAGTACTTGTATATGCATCAGAAAAAAATTATTAAAATGGAGAATTCTCCCCTTGTAATTTTTAACAAAATTTGGCTTGATTTTTGAGCAACTTTAAAAAATTGTAAAAAAATCCAAGTTTGATTGGAAACTTGCTACACAACATGAGAACATGTATAATATGCATTAGAAAAATAAAAAAAAAATAAAAAAGTTATTTTTTGCCTTTTTTTAAATTCAGGTAAAGACCGTGTACTATTGTACAGAGTTTTGTTTTCATTACACTAGTACTATGAAATTTTTGCTGCTAGCATTACCCATGTCTGACGTATGCATGCACTGTAAGTGTAGAGATTCATACCTGATGTAGTTCTCCAGCAATTACTAGATGTGTGTCCTTATTTGCTAAAAGAAGAGGAGCAAGCGTATCTATTTCTCTTGCCTGGCCTCCCTCATCAATGAAGATATGAGTAAAGAAACCTTTAGGAGCTACATTCGATATTTTGAGAGCAGTGTCATATGCAGTGACTACTATTAACTTTGTCTCTTTGGAAAAATGATTAATAAATGAGGCTTTGCTACAGTCTGATATATTAAACTGAAACTCATTTGGGGTCGAGGAGCAACACTTCTCTTGGATAATTCTAACAACTGTTGCATCACTTGGCATATCTAAAAAATATTCTTTAAAAATTCTATCGGCAGAGCAATGATGATGACAAGATAGTAAAATACGCGTGATCGACTCATCTTCAATAATGAACTTTGCTGCAACACAAAGCAAATGCGTCTTTCCACAACCAGAAGGACCATGTATCAGAATTGGAGCTTGCGATTTGGTGTGCAGTATCAATTTTAGGCCATACATTTGATCTTCATTTAAATTAGCATCAATTTCTAAATGTTCGAGGCTAAAAGGTTTAAAATCATCAGGTGAAGGGAATATTCTTTTTAGTGTATCATCAGTTATACATGTCAAAACATTGTGAAGGCTTTCAAATAAAGAATGATTGGCTTCAAACTTGATTTTAAATTGAGTCTTTGGATAAAATTTCATAAATTTAGCTGCATTCTTTAAATCAAAGGAAATAGAAAGTACTTCTTGTGAAATTTTGTAGCCATAAACTGCTTCACAAATGATACGAGAATTCGTACTCATAATAGTTAGCCGATTTCTCATTTGAGCAACATAAGTCATTTGACTAATATCAAGACCTTCAACAAAAGCAGATAGAGCAAAATTATCTTGAGCTAATTGACGTGGCCTATATGTGACAATGATGTATGTTTTTTCCATTCTGTTTAATCTATACTGACACAGGGATGAAAACATAAAAGAAAGACAAGAAAACAGACTAAAAGTTTACAATTACAAAATAGTGTTTGAATTAGACACGTAATTATGTAAAATTATTAAAGCTTTGATCATAACTTAGTTAATCAGAATCCCTAAATCAGCTCAAATTCTTTGCAGGCATAAGTTAGAGTATGTCACCCAAAGACCTTAGTGATTTGAAAAAGTCTATACTTACATTTCATCAATGATATTCTTATGCTCTTCTTCCTCATGAAAGAGCAAGGATTTATATTTTGTCTTGTAGTTTTCTAGGTTAATAGGTAAGGTCATGTCACTAGACAAATCAGGGGAGTTGGGTATGTCTTTTAGAGAAGCATTCTGAAAATGAAAATAAAAATTAATGGAGTTGCAATGCAGATCATAAATATGAGCCAGCATGAATTGTTTTGAAATATAATAATAACAGTAATAGGCAGTTAAAGGAAATTGTTATGTAAATAACAGGTGCAAATGCAAAGGAAATGTTTGCACATTGCGGTATAGTAGTTTCCGTGTAAAATTTGGCCTAAAATTTATTCACCTTTTCACTGTGTAAGCCTTTACTACAATCGAGTGACAAACTTTTCCATGCTCTTTTCTCTGCTTTGCTATGTGGCCAATGACAATCCTCTCCAGGACAACCCAACCCGGCTATGTAGCACTTTCTAAAATAGCGTGGAGACGGTTTCGACCGAAGTGGTAGTTTTAAATGAGTCTGGTAGACCAGTGGTAGTTGCCTTATCCTTACTAGTATGCCTTTATGCTCTGTTACCAGCACATGTCGCGGACGATTATGTCTCGGATTATGTTCAGCAGCAGAGCGACACTTTAGACTCTCCGTCAATAACAATAGATCCCAAGGTGCTCGTCTATAACATAGTTCACATACTCTGCCAAAACTTGCCCTGGTACTACTACTACTACTTGAGCTAAGAGAAGGAATGTCGCTCATCACAAAGTCACAGGTACTGGTCAGGCACACTGGCACAGGCAGCATAAAATTAATTAGAGCTCCACCCACGTGTTATTAGGACCACACCTTTTTACAAGGGCAGGGCTAGGCTAAAGTAATAACCACACCTACAACAAGATGTCTCTCGATTCTGTCCCTAAAGATCTTCGTGGTTTAAGAGCTTGCAAGCTGTGCTCTATGGTTAAGGTAGTCAAGAAATCTTTTAAGAAGTTATTATAAATTTTTACTTCAGTCGTTTGATCAGTTTCTTTACAATGGTTGTGACAATTGCGAGAGATACATTCACTTGAAAGGGAACAGGGGTCGAGTTAATGACTGTACAAGTCCAAACTTTGATGGGTGAGTCATGATACTCTACATATGTTTTAAAAGGGACGATTTTATAAACCACTAATTGACTGCTCTTGCTTTAGACTAATATCAATGATGAGTAATGAAGACAGTTGGGTAGCAAAATGGCAGAGAATAAGTAAGTGTACATTAATCAAATGTCTCTATGAGTGTGAGAGGATTATTTGCTTTTATTTCTTCCTAGATAAGTTCACTAAAGGATGCTATGCAGTATCAGTGTCAGGAGAACTGCCTGAAGATATACTGGACG